GCGGCTGGTCAAAGTTATTTTTCCCTATCAGATAGTACCAAAAATTTTTTTGACTATGGAATAAATTATCTCTTTTGACTACAAAAAATAAAATTATTACTATGAAATAAATTATTTTCTTTGACAGGACCTCGAGAAAACAAGAAGAAAGAAAAAAAAAAAAAGTAAAAAAAGTAAAGAAGGTAAAAAAAAGTTAAAGTTGCATAAATGATAATTATGACATTATAATTAAAGGATGGTGCATTAATGAATTTAAGGATTTCTTGTCATTTCCTTTAAAAGAAAAAGATAAATGGAGTGTAATTAGAGAAAAGTGGAGTGCGAATATCCCCTTCCTAAAAAAATTGTGATTTAGATGTATTTGGTAATCATTAAAAAGAGCTTTTGAATGAAACTATAATTTTAAACTTTTAAAACTGTGAGTAGAAGTTTAATATTTTAGGTAACTATTTTTTCTTAAACAATTTTGTCAAATTTTTTATTATTTTTTTTTTATAAAAACAATTGCACTCATTCCTTAATAAAATTGCTATTGTCACATATGGTAACATATTATTAAAAGATATTATTGTAAAATTAGTAATAAAAGTGTTTAAAAAAAATTTGTTGCAAAATAAACTAAAAAATAATTTAATTATAAAAAATACTTATTACTTTTTAAATGACACAACTGTCCTTTCAGATTTCCTTTCTTTATCTATAATCTTTAATTTTTTAGGTCTCTTTTGACAAGATAAAAAAAAAAAAAATGAATAAATTTTTTTTACAAGACTAAAAAAATAATAATAATAATATGTTGAATAAATTGACTCTTTTGACTGGACCAAAAAATTAAAAAGTAACCATTACAAATTATCTCTTTTAACATGAAAAAACCCCAATATATATATATAAAGTTATCTCTCTTGAATGGACTGAACAAAAATAACTTTATTGAATGAACTTCTCTTTGGATTGTACCAAAAAGAGAAAAAGTGACTATGGAATAAATTATCTCTTTTGACTACCAAAAATAAAATTATTAGTATGAAATAAATTATTTTCTTTGAGAGGACCTCGAGAAAACAAAAAGAAAGAAAAAAAAAAAAAAAAAGAAGGTAAAGAAGGTAAAAAAAAAGTTAAAGTTGCATAAAGGGTAGTTAGGACATTATAAATTAAGGGGTGGTGTATTAATGAATTTAATGTTTTTCTTGTCATTTCCTTTAAAAGAAAAAGAGAAATGGAGTGTAATTACAAAAAAGTGGAGTGCAAATATTGCCTTCCTAAAAAAATTGTGATTTAGATATGTTTGGTAATCATTAAAAACTCTTTTAATGATTACCAATTTTAATTCAGTAGAGCTTTTGAATGAAACTAGAATTTTAAACTTTTAAAAATGTGAGTAGAAGTTTAATATTTTAGGTAACTACTTTTTATTAAACAATTTTGTCAAATTTATTATTATTTTGTTTATAAAAACAATTCCATTCATTCCTTAATAAAGTTGCTATTATCACATATGGTAACATCTTATTAAAGGATATTATTTTAAAATTAGTAATAAAAGTGTTTTAAAAAATTTGTTACAAAATAAATAATATATTATATAGTTATAAAAAATACTTATTACTTTTTAAATGACACAACTGTCCTTTCAGATTTCCTCTCCTTATCTCTAATCTTTAATTTTTTAGGTCTCTTTTGACAAGATTTAAAAAAAAAAAAATTTGAATAATTTTTTTTTTTACAAGACAAAAATAATAATAATAATAATAATAATATGTTGAATAAATAAACTCTTTTGACCGTACCAAAAAATAAAAAAGTAACCATTACAAATTATCTTTTTTAACATGAAAAAACCCCAATATATATATATATATACATATATTGATAAAAAATAAAAAAATAAAAGTTATCTCTTGATAGGGCTAAACAAAAATAACTTTGTTGAATAAACTTCTCTTTGGATTGTACCAAAAAAAACAAAGAAAAAGTGACTATAGAATAAATTATCTCGTTTGATTACAAAAAATAAAATTATTAGTATGAAATAAATTATTTTCTTTGAGAGGACCTCGAGAAAACAAAAAGAAGGAAAAAAAAATAATAGTAAAAAATGTAAAAAGGTAAAAAAAAGTTAAAGTTTCATAAATGGTAGTTATGACATTATAAATTGAGGGATGGTGCATTAATGAATTTAATGATTTTCTTGTTATTTCCTTTAAACGAAAAAGATAAATGGAGTATAATTAGAAAAAAGTGGAGTGCGAATATCGCATTCCTAAAAAAATTGTGATTTAGATGTGTTTGGTAATTATTAAAAACGCTTTTAATGGTTACCAATTTTGATTTAGTAGATCTTTTGAATGAAATTAGAATTTTGAACTTTTAAAATTGCGAGTAGAAGTTTAATATTTTAGGTAACTATTTTTTCTTAAACAATTTTGTCAATTTTTTTAAAATTTTTTTTATAAAAACAATTGTACTCATTCCTTAATAAAATTGTTATTATTACACATGGTAACAACTTATTAAAGAATATTATTGTAAAATTAGTAATAAAAGTGTTTAAAAAAATTTGTTACAAAATAAATTAAAAAATAATCTAATTATAAAAAATACTTAGTACTTTTTAAATGACACAACTGTCTTTTCAGATTTTCTCTTTTTATCTCTAATCTTTAATTTTTTAGGTCTTTTTTTTATTTTTATTTTTTTGCAAGACAAAATAATAATAATATGTTGAATAAATTGACTCTTTTGACGGACAAAAAAAATAAAAAGTAACCATTACAAATTATCTCAATAATAAAAGTGTTTCAAAAAAATTTGTTACAAAATAAATTAAAAAATAATTTAATTATAAAAAATACTTATTATAACTTGTTATCAAACACCTAATGTGCTTGTTACAGACAACATATTTTTGACAACTCTACTAACAAACATTATTATTATTATTTTTTGTTAACAAGCTCTTAGCATTTGCATCAGCAGACAAGCACTCACCCATTACAGTTGGTATTAGCTATTGATTTGGTGTCACGCCACGTACCTGGTCTAGAGGAGTTCGGGTTATCACCCCGAATAGGCAACGTAGCCCGATCGAAACGAGACCTTTTTCGAGTTCGGAAAAAAAAATAACAAAAAATCGTAACACCCATCATATAGCACATCTATATCAAATATGCAATACACGTACACCATATTACATAATGTTTAATCGTTACAACGCTGTAATATTATTAAATAAAAATTTCAATAGTTTACATCATTATTGTATTATTTATTTAAATTATTAAATTAATAATTTAATATTAGTACATTATTGATTTAAAATTATTATATATTATTTATTTAAAGTTTTTTTTTTTAAAGTTTAACCTTTGTTTGGAATGCTGGATTTGATGAGATTTGGATCTGGAAACAGGATTTGTCCTATATGGAACCACTTAATTACAAATAGGATTTGAACCCTTCTTTTTATTAAACCCTATCGTTGTTTTTTTTTTTTATACTCCATTATCTTATATTGTGTTTAACATATTGATTCTCAAAGTTATGGAACTTTGAGTAAGACATCGATTTCTCAAAATTACCAAAACTCTGTGTGTTTAACCGATTGATCCACCACCACTTTTGTGTTATTGTACTTGAAAAATCTACAATACAGAATTTTATAACCAAAACTCATACTCCAATCCTCCATAATTCATACCAAATTTTTTTGTTTGGTATACTCTAGTTATACTGTGTTTAATAAATTGATCTACCACCACTTTTGTATTATTTTGTTTGAAAAATCTATAATACAAAATTGCTGCAATCCTCCATAATTTGCACCATTTTTTTGTTTGGTATACTCCAACAGATTGATTTACCACAATACATAATTGTATAACCAAAAGTTGATCTACCACAATACAGAATTATATAACCAAAAGTTTTAACAATTGATCCACTACCTTGAATTTTTTTTTTTACTTATAACCAAAAGTCATGGAATCCACTTTAGTATTTGTGTACTTAAAAATTTAAACGAATAAAGCAGAATTTTATAAGTAAAAATTATATTATCCAATTCTTCATAATTTACAGATAAGTCATATATATATTTAAGCCAATATTATTTTTAATAATTCTTTTTTTTCTTTTAAAATAAATTTCATGTTTCACAGTTCCATCACGTAATTATTCTCGTTGTTTGTCTTCTTCTTGCTGTAACTTTGGAGTATATTTTGCAATAAAATAAATATTTCATTTATTATTTAAATAAGGGCAAAAAAGGTATTATATTATTTTTATTCAAAATTCCATTTTAAATTCAATTTGTTTCAAACATATAAATAGAATTTCATTCTAATTCTAATTCTAATTCTTATTTCAATTCCAATTCCAATTCAAATTCCTATTCCTTTTCCAAATCCTAAAATAATTGATTCCAAACAAAGCGCCTGTTCCCGGAAAGACTCACCCGACCCGATGGCTGATGCGTAGTAGTCGCCCTATATAATGTGTCTGTATTTGTGTATTTACATACGTATAAACTATAAGGGTGTGTTTGGTAGGGTTGATTTGGAGGGATAGGGAGAGAAAAGAAAAGAGAGGATAGTGTAAGTTTGTGTTTGGGTAACTTAAGTGGAGGGATAAGGAGAGATAGGGAGGGATAGCTATCCCTCCTTATCTCTTATTTGCTTTCTCCTCAAAATTGAGAAGATAGGGAGAGATAATGAGAGAAAGGATAGTGATTTTAGTGGTATTTTGATAATACCAAAATTAGCCTCCACAAATCAATACACAGATTTATTATTCTATCCAAGTCCCATGGTTATGAAAGGGTAAAAAAGTAATTTGTCTATTATCCTTGCTTTTCTTTTCTCTCCTCTATCTTATCCAAACAAAAATAACTATCACTTCTTTTCTTTTCTCCCCTGTCTATCCAAACACAAATAGAAATTATTACTATCCTTTCTTTTCTTTTCTCACTAATACTATCCTTTCTTTTCTCTCATAACTAATACTATCCAAACACACCCTAACAGTCGCACAATATTATTTCTTTGCTTCTTCAATCTACCGGAAACGAACTAAGAGCCCGCAATCGAACAAAGAGCTCATCAGTCGGAAGGTTTGATAGATTATCAAATTGTCTTAAGATTTTTGTTACTTTTTGTGGAAAATTTTCAAACCCTAGGTTTAGGTTTTGCTATGTGTGCGTACCCTAATTTAGGTCTCTGCGTGCTTCTGTGTTACATGTTGTAGTAGCAAGAGAATGTCGAACGATTTGCAATTGAAGCCGTCATGTAGCGGCTGTGGATCGTCTAAGGATCTGTATGGAAGCAATTGCAAGCACTTGACTCTGTGCTTGTCTTGCGGCAAAACCATGGCCGAGAACCAAGGAAAATGTTACGATTGCGGTGCAACAATCACTCGGTTGATTAGGGTTTGTCTCTCTTCATAAACACACACACACACTTTTGGATTATTTTTTTTAGGAACAATTATGGTTTATAATCGAAATTCTCAAATCATATACTTTTTTTTTTATATTTATTCTCAATTTCGCTATATTTATGTGATTCAATTGTTTGTCAGTGTTCAATTTAGGGATCGAATTCTCGATTTCAGTCATAATCGTGGGAAACAATTTGAGCACAATGCTGTTTTGAATTTTTATATAATTCATCTTTCACATAATCAATTTGTAATAGGAATTAATGCATATAATCTGGTTTTGTGCATTGTGTTTGCTTAATGATAAAAAAAGAAAAAAGAATAGAAAGGAAGTGAATTTTGGATATATCGTGTGTATATATGTCTGCATTCCTGCATTTTAACTCGTTTCCATTGTCATTCCAAATCAGCTGGTAGGGCATGAAAATCTGGTGGACATTGTGGTAACTGGTAAAGAATTGTGTGAGGTGACAAAAGTGCTGAATTTAGTGGAGTAAGAAATCAAAATTTAAAAAAGAGTATCTCGATATGATGATATATTTAAAATAACAGTATCCAACATGTAGTTAAGAAAAAGGAAGAAGAAGAAATTCTGGTCCCCATTCCTTTCCAATGACTATGTTGAACTTGATTTTTGAGGTATTGTAGTAGTGGAGCGATTCATGTTCCTGCATGTTGTCACTGGAGATATTGTTTTTTTGTCAGCCTAATGTGCTTTTTTACTACTTTTTTCAAATTTTAACTTTTGCATGTTTGTTAATTGACCTTTACAAACTTTTGTTATTGTTAGTGTCGTTTTCTAATTTTTGGAAGCTGAAGTTCCGTGCACATTCTGTATCTGCTCAATTCAGGAATATAATGTCCGTGCATCTTCCATCAGCGATAAAAACTACTTCATTGGTAGATTTGTGTCGGGTTTACCAAATTTTTCAAAGAAGCAGACTGCTGAAAATAAATGGTCTCTTCAGAAAGAAGGATTACAGGGACGTCAGCTTACGGATGCTTTGCGGGTACAGTGATCATAAAGTCTCAAAGTTTATAAGAACTTATTTTCCTTGTTTGTTTTGTCCCTAATGTTACACTTTATTTGCTGAAATAGTGAACTTTCTCAATAATGCAATGAAAATTCTGGTGTTGTACCTAGATGAAACCTGTAGTTAATAAAAAATTCAAGAAGAAAGCAATTTTTGTTCCCAGTAAGTGAAAAATGAAAAAGTCAAATATTATATATTTATATTTTTTGAAAGTTTATAAATTGAATAGAAGATATGTTACTGCTTTGGATAGTTGGATGCTGTTGTGTTCATTTATTTATCAATGATTTTATTAAATTGTCCCTTGCATTTTACTTGTCCTTAAGAGTTCTTATAAGAGTTTTTTCCGCACGATTAATTTGTCTGCATTAGTGTAATGTATCATATATTTGCCTGTTTTACGCGTCGTGCATGGCAAATTTAGTGGACAACCTCTTTGTGGCTTGGTCAACTGTGTGGTCATAGGTTAGGTGTGTTTTGACACCTATTGTGTTACTTGGTATTAGCAGTTAGAAGAAGGCTAAGGCTGGCTTCTTGTTCATTGTTTTTTCAGACTCCTGAAATGTGCATGTTGTTTGTGTCTACTCAAATGATACAACTTACAAGTTGACTATTTAAATATATGGTCCTTTGCCTAGTTTTTAACCTACTTTAAATAAACATATACTGTTGACATCCTTGTTCGGATAACATAAACAAATAAGCTGGTCATGGTACATTTTAATTTTGATAATGAAGACCCACTCTTTCATCAGGAGGACTAAAGACACGGTGACTTCTATTCAGTTAAATTCTTTTTAGTTACTGCAAGTTGAACATGCTTCATTCGATAGCTCAACCAAGAGAAGTGACCCTTAGCTTCAACGTTAAATATGAATAATTTCTATTCAGGGTGATAAATACTTTACTTGAATAGCTTTTTCCTTTTATTGTATTTTCTTATAAGGACTGAATTGAACTAATTAAAAATTTGATGGTGACAATCAGGGGTCCTGAGCTTGGTCAAGCTAAGATTTTGAATTGATTTGACATAACCTAGAGTATATGGTGAATATTAGTGAGTACCGAGTAGTGTATATCCCAAAAGATTGAGCTTCATGATGAAACTCTGTGGTGCCATCTATGTGTTTTTATTCACCTAAACAATGGTTCAGGCTTTGCAGTACTATTGGTCAATTTTATTGTTTTATGTTGAGACAAGTACATACTTAAGCACTATTTAAAAAAAAAAAAAAACATTCTTAAGCAAATGGTCAGCATTGAGCACAAATGTGGATTTGGTAAGGCATCTATACTTGTGTGGTCAACAGAATGTGTCTCTCTTTTTTTTCCTAGTTCTACTTCTACATGTGTTAATTTACTATTTTATGTTACTTGCCTCCATAATTTTGTAATTACATTGTGTAGGAAAAGTACAAGAATAAGCCTTGGTTGTTGGAAGATGAAACGGGCCAATCTCAGTACCATGGTCAGCTTGAGGGTGCACAATCAGCAACGTATTACCTACTAATGCTGCAGGGCAAGGAGTTTGTCGCTATCCCTGCTGGTTCTTGGTAGGCATGGCCTATATTTTTAGCACTGTTTCTTATATCTCTCTGACATAGATACATTATATTGTCAGTTATCACTGTTTTGTTGATTTTTCAGTGAGCAACACATCCCTTTTTTTTTTTTTTCCTTTTCTTTTTAAAACTTACCTTTTATCCAAGAATATCAACTTTTCTTGGGTTTGTTCAATGGGTTATCAGGAGGGTCATGGCCTATGTTAATGGTCTCATTTCATGTTCTACTTTGTGGGATAATTTATTATTATTGTATATATGTATCAATTTCAATATGATTGTTTCTGGGGTTGTAATCTATATTAATATATATTTTATGTTTGTGATTTTAGGTACAATTTTAACAAAGTTGCACAATATAAGCAACTTACATTGGAGGAAGCAGAAGAGAAGATGAAGAATAGAAGGAAAACTGCAGATGGATATCAAAGATGGATGATGAAAGCAGCAAACAATGGACCTGCTGCTTTTGGTGAAGTTGAAAAGTTCGATGACAAAGAAAGTGGAGCTGTTGGTAGGAAGGGAAGTAAAAAAACTACAGGTGAAGATGAAGAAGCCAATGCCTCGGACAGGGGAGAGGAAGATGATGAAGAAGAGGTGGCAAGGAAAAATAGACTTGGACTCAACAAAAGAAGCGGCGATGATGATGAAGAAGGTCCAAGGGGAGGCGATCTTGATTTGGATGATGATGATATTGAGAAGGGTGAGATTTTTTTTGTTTGTACCTTCCATTGCATCCAATTTGGAATGTTAAGATTTTTTACCTTTATTTATAATTAACTTCATAGAGTGTTGTTCGATTAATTAATAGAATATAAGGCTGAATTTTTTTTTTTGCTCCTCCTATCCACCTCAACCACCGAAAAAAAAAAAAAAAAAGGGAAGTCCGTCTCTACAGGCGAAGCGATTGAAATTGTAGCTGGTTCTGATTTCACCACCTCTTAGATGCCTCTTTCTTAATGTGAATATTAGTTTTCTTATTCATAGCATTAAATAATCGAGCATATACTTGACATGCATGAAAGAACAGAGGGAAGCCTTTTAGCTTGCATATATATTGAATGTGCATTAAAGACATGAAATGTTACTTGTACGTTTCTTCTGTTATGGCAACTTACTATATTGTAATTGCTTGTATCACCATTTTCTTTCTTGATAACGTACATTCGCATCATTTAGATAAAATTCACCTTTGGGCTCGTTTATTTAGTTTATCATGATAGACTTTGTTTTTATATATGATTGAGCAGCACATTTATGATGGATTGCTATTGGTTTTTGCTAGGTGACGATTGGGAGCATGAAGAAATTTTCACCGATGACGATGAAGCCGTGGGTAACGATCCTGAGGAACGGGAAGATTTGGCCCCTGAAGTTCCTGCTCCTCCAGAAATCAAGCAGGTTTGTTATTCATCACTGTAACTTTCTAGTTTATCATTTCAATGGTAAGATTATATTATTCTGCCTTCTCACTTTGAAATTGCTTTGTCGGGTTTTAAGCTATTTGTATTAAATGGCATAATGTTCATCAACACTCTTTGATAGACTTTAGTATCCCAAGTCAACCATGTGCCTAACTTGAGTAAGCCTTAGTTCATAAGCCTTTGAGGTTGACTACATAAATTTTCTTTATCACGACTTCTATGAAAGACTGTCAGAGAAATGCTGTTACTAGGATAGAAGGGCCAAGAGAAATTACCAAAGGAGGAAGATTTTTCTTCAATTAAAGATAAACTAAAGAAAACAGAAGAATGAAGACCATGAACTAACCATCAATAAGGCACATCATTTTTATAGGAACTTCCGCAAATTCGATGTGATTTCATTAATGAAGCCAGCAATGGAACTTCTCTATCTTGGTTCTTGGATGGTTTATTTCATCTTTCGCAAGGGGCTGCTATATATCCATTGGTTTCTTGCCCTACTTAAACCTACTTTGTGAGAGGTGTCAGCTGTTCTCGCCCCTAAATGGTTTCTCTTCAAGTCCTCCTACATTCCATATAGGAATGCTTAATCTTTGATTTATAGGCGTCTCTGTTACCAATGGGCCCAGAAACTAGAAGGGAGAAAATCTAAGTTGCTAATTTTAGTTTGATCTGATGCTCCTTGAAAGTCTAAGTCGCAACTATAGAGCTGTTAAAGGATTGAACTTTTCAATAATTGATGTTTAGTGCAGTTGGAATGTCATCTTGAGCTTTGGAAATGGAGTATGTTTTGTAACTTTACAGGCAACTTAGAACTCGCTTTCCCTGAGTTTGTTCTTGTCATTGAGTATGCCGAGTTCATATAGTTGTTTCTGTTTTTTCCTAGGGTTGCAATATATTAATAACCTCATTCTAGGAAATATTAGCTTCCCTCGGCATAGATTATGCAAGATGAAGTGTGCAGATAGAGGCTTTCTTGCAAGGGAAGGTGGTGGATTTTGGACCCACAGATACGGAATTTTAAAGATACGCTGTACTTAATAGAATCTGTGACAACTCCTGTAATGTAAACCTGCTGGGGACAATCCTAAAAAAAGATGAAATAGAACTTTCTTTGCAGTGGGGGCTGTCCGTGGGCAGGGCATTGTATTTTCTACCACTGGTAGCATTAAACTTCATTGCAACCCCCATTGTTGTCTTGGTAGAAATTGGCTTTGGGTGTTTTCACTTCTCATTTAACTGTTCCTGATACGCTGTGGCTTAAATCTATAATATATATATATATTGATAAGTAAAATCTTTAATAAAATTGTTTGTGGTTTTAATGGCTATATATATATATATATTTTAAATCTGCCGAGTCTTTCATATGTGATGCAGGATGAAGAGGACGAGGAGGAATCTGAAGAGGAAGGAGGACTGAGCAAATCTGGAAAAGAGTTGAAGAAGCTGCTAGGGCGAACTAGTGGGCTGAATGATTCCGATGCAGAGGATGACGACGATGATGAGGATGTAAGTTTCAGTAATGTGCAACTATTTTTGCATGCTGTACTAACAATAACACAGAAAGGACATTATTGGACCTGCTTATTGTGCTTTGTTGGTACTTGGTACCAGAAGAGAAATGAAAAGAAAAAAAAATTAATAAAAAGAAAAGAGCTGTGTGAATTTCCCCTCTACATAGTGGGCACTGGGAAAAATATGTGATGTTTTCATTGCTTTGATCCATGTTGAGAGCTTCACAAGAATTTGTTATTTGTTTCAATTTTACCTGCAACATTCTTGTCATGCCAATCATAGTTTTTTTTTTCGTTTGTCCAGGACGATGAAATTGGCCTCTCCCCTGTGCTGGCTCCAAAGCAGAAGGAAGCTCCAAAAGAAGAACCTGTTGACAACAGTCCTTTAAAACCAGCTTCGACGGGGTCTGCTCGGGGAACACCCCCCACTTCCAAGTCAGCAAAGGGAAAGAGAAAAACAAACGGTGATGATAAACCAAGTAATGGAGCACCACCAAAAAAAGTGAAGACAGAAAATGTACGTTATCCTTTGATGTCCTCCTTGATTTTATTTTATATTGCAAGTGATGAACCTCCTTGATATCAAAAGCTGTTTTTAGATCAATCTTAATGCTAAGTTCTACTTCATTTGGGATTTCAGGATGTGAAATCTGCAAAAGATGAAACTGCGTCTTCTTCGAAAAGTAGTGTCTCTGCAAAAGGTGCATCACCATCTGCAAAGACTGGACCTGTCACGGAAGATGAAATTAAGGCTGTCTTATTGCAAAAGACACCAGTGACCACACAAGATCTGGTGGCTAAATTTAAGTCGAGATTGAAGAGCAAAGAGGTATGTCATTTCATGTTTTGTCAGGGTCTTAAATTTCATTTATGTGAACTGTCTTGATATTATCACTGGTAAATTGTCCTCCAATGCCCTTTGGGCAATAGTGACTCACCGTACCGTCGGCAAAGTTAATAATCTCTATGTTGTGTTTCAGATCTATATGTAGTATATGTTCCTTCTAAAAGTATGATTTTCAAATTTGACCTGATGGGGATGAATAATTTATTAGTTGAAATTTGGGCTGTCAGCAATTTAGTTTCTGAATTAGAAAGCTCAAGGCAAGAAATTTAATAAGAGTTCAGGATGATGAGATATAGGCAATTTCTAATTTTTGGACATCCTTTTTTTTGAGTTGTTGTCTAAGTATGCTTGTTTGCTTTGCATGATGCATGTTGCTTGCACTTTTCAGATTTACAACAAAAAGAATGGTGTGGTTTGGAGATGTATCACTTTAGATAGCTTGGTGTGGTTGGCGAACCATTTTTTTTTTTTTTTTTGTCATTTCGCTGATGAAGTTTCTTGGTGCAGGACAAGGATGCTTTCGCGGCTATCCTGAGGAGAATTTCCAAGATACAAAAAACCAATGGGCCAAATTATGTAGTGTTGAGAGAGAGGTGAACTTCTCCCGATTAATGTTTTTTCTGCATTCAACTCTTCTTTCAATTGGGCTTGCCCATAATACTGCAGATTGAGGAAATTGATTAACCCAGGCACTTTCTGGCTTTGTTCTCTAAGAGAAACCGAGAATTGTGTTGTAAGATGTTTTATATTCTTGTTACTGTACCTCCTTCCTCCCACTGCTTTCCTCTACCTTGAGGGTTACAGAAAAAAAAAAGGAAAGAAAAAAGAAAAGAAAAAATGAAGAAGAAAATAGAAAAAATAATAAGATGTGAAGATCTTTGCTCAAGTCCTATCTATACGTTAACATGCTTTTTTGTTATATGCTATGTCATGAACTGTTAAAATTTGTACTAGTTTCTATCTTTCACTTGCTTGGGATATTTGATCAATCTATATTGTTTGTGTAATTTTTCGTTGTGTACAACATGGTGTTTATTTGATTTTCACAACTTTTTCTTTGGTGGTGCCTTTATGGACTCTCAGAATCAAAGCTGACTAAGTCTAAATAAAAATGTCTTGCTAATTTAATCGAATTTGTGACCTGTTTCAACTTTTTTGGTCGATGACCCGTATATTCGTGTAGTATAGACACAGCTTGGTTTACTTTTCTTAATTTTTACTTGCATTAAAGTGCTGTGAGGATTTTTTTTTTTTTTTAACCCTTTTTCATTTGCTTTAAAAGGATATCTGAAACGATGCATGGTTGTTAATAGCATGTTATAATGGTCATTGGTTACATAATTGTTGTACATTAATTTGACAATAATTGTTATTATCTTTGAAATGGACACTCGTTTTCTATCACATTGGCTCAATTGTGAAAGTGTACGTGGATTTGGCTCAACCATGTTTTGTGAAATGTGGCGAACCGTTTAGACCGTGAAAAATGCATATATTTTATTTGACTTTATGAGACCTTTTTTCAGGATGGGATAATGATGCCACTTGCCACCCCAATTGTTTGCTGGCTTAGATGCTGACTCTTTTAGCTTAAGATGTAAGCAATAAAAAGTAAAAGCATATGCTGGGTTCACAAGAGTCGAGATCCTCAGCTAAGGTGCTTTAGGTGGGCTCAACACAACTTGATCTACTTTCAGTGCGTTATTTCAAGCTGTGTTGAAACACGATTTAATTATGACGTTGCGCGGCTTCTTTAAATAAAGCATTTGTTACTTGTCCAGTTTTTTTACTAACCTAAATAGTGATTGGTCTACCTTTATTCTAGCGGCTTTATGTCTTAATTTTCAACTTTATGAAAAGTTGTGGACATTATTCATTTGCTCCTTAATTTGGGCAAGAAAGTTCTTTGAATTGCAGTGGATGTATTTCAGTAAAAGACTCGAGAAAGATAATAAGTTCCAATGCTAGAATTTTTTTATTTTTGAGGTATTTTCACACTTTATGGGTGAGACTAATTCACCCCAGGCACACGCAACACTCCACGAGTCGGACGGTTCAAGGTTCAGCCTGATTACAATTTACCCAGCAGCACTCCACGAGTCGGAAGGTTCAAGATTCAGCCTGATTACAATTTACCCAACGGAAATTGTTTACCCTGAGACACTTGAACTTTCATGCGCAATTTACCCAGCGGAAATTGTTTACCCTGAGACACTCGAACTTTCATGCGTGGCACTTCTAAAAGATGATTTAAACTATTCTTTTGTTTTAGAGGGAAAATAAAGCCTTTTCTTTTCTTTTCAAAACCATTCACAAAGTTTGAATCAAAGATATAAAGTATGAATTTTCTAAAAAAAAAAATAAAGTCATCTCATTTGATTAGATGCATAACATTAAAACAAATAGAATGTAAAGTACACCAAAAAAAAAAAATAAAAAAAATAGACAAACATCGAATACAACATAGAATACTTAACACCCATGCGATTGATGTGTTTTGTCTATTGCAAAAGATGTTGCAAGATGAGAGAGGGATATTATTATAAGTCGCATTTAGAGGCCCACATGACAGGACAAAAGTCCAACTGCAACGGACAACAACACAAGAGAAAGTCCATTGGGTTGGGCAGAGGCAGAGGGGGTAGGGGTTGTGGGCCCAGCTGCCACGGCCTTGGAGGAGCTGTCTGATAAACCAACAGCCTGGATTTCATCTTTGGTTGATTGAGGCTGAACCTCCACGTGTAGCTTTAGGCCTTTTTTGCAACTTTCAGTCTTCCCACTCGCGAAGTAGCGGATCCCTTTTCTGTCAAGGGTCACGCTATCTATGCCGTCCGTGTACATCCTAATTGGGTTGCTCACATCGCACGACTCGTATTCCTCCTTGCTTTTAAGCTCCACAACGCTTTCCTGTGCTGCGGAGTAGCTGAACCCTGCCCACTCAACCAACCCCAACTTTTAGCTCTTTTTTTGGACAACCTAAATGATCATTTGTTACAAATAAAGTACTGGTAGACAGAGCACCCTAAACCAAAATTTTTCTTAAAAAAGAAAATCTGTTTGGCAGGTGAGAAAATAGAGGAATTAGGTCAAAAAAAAAAAAAAAAAAAAAAAAAAAGGTCCATTCTTAAATTTTTATAAATAATTACAGTCACATCCCCTGTAAATTGTGTAAATAACAAGAACTTCTCTATATTTTAAGGTAGAATATCTGTTTTGTTATGGACAAAATAGCCTATGATAAAAATTGCAGAGTATTATTGGGTTTTAAGTAAACATGAGTATGACATCAGTAGACAGTAATGTAAATTTTATAACCAAAGAGGTCATGTTATTCAATCTGATAAAAAAAAAAAAAATGCGAATGTTATATTTAAAATTAGAGGGAGATCCATGTTATTTAGGAAATTTATACAAAACAAGTATGTGTAATTATCTGAAATTTTTATTAGTTATATGGGATGAAAAAAAAAAAAAAAATTTATTAGCCTTTTTGTGTCCAATTTTTTGGTCTCTTTGATATTAGAAACCTATAAACTCCCTGGAGTGATAAAAGTAAGAAAATAAATAAAAATCCATCAAGTATGTAACTAGAGAGAGAAAGAGAAGACATAGAGAGATCCACAAGGGACTTACAGATTTTGTCTCCGACGATGAAGGTTCTGCCGGAGGACCAAGAAGCGACGTCGGAAGATGGGTCCCAGCCACGGTCACCGGCGACCAGATGGTGCACCTCGGCTCGAACACATTTCACTCCAATAATCACGGAGATAACAAACAGGGCTGCTATGAAAAGCTTCGCTCGACCCATTTCCACAGTCTAGCACCTTTACCAGTAGCTTTTATAAATTTATATAAATAAATGCTAGAGAGTGAGAGAGAGAGAGATATTTGTGCTAGTGAGAGAGAGAGATGAAGTGTTAGTTAAGCAAAAGAGGGTATCTCTCCATATATCCACTTCCCTCATTTCACCACTCCCATCAGTCTTTCCAAATAACTCTCTTTCCACGTACCTTCCTTTCCTTCCTATGACCAATAAAAGACTGGTTGGTATGGAGAGTCTCTCACATTCACTCTCTCTCATTTGTCTTGTAAGTTTGAGAGATAAATAATGAAGTAATAAAGTCCTATGGGATAGTAGTTGTTAATTCTTTGTCGCATTAAAAATTAACAAAGATAATTTAGAATAATAAGAAAACAAGTGACAAATTGAATATTGTTTCTTTCCATTCCCTTTTTTTTTCAATGTTAATTAATTTAATAACTAATAATAAATAAATTTTCTTGAACATATCTGTTGGTGACAGCAGGGACCAATACTTTATTTATTTATTTTATCTGACAATCTTTTCGGGTGGAGGCCCTTTTTAGTTATTGGCCACTACCAACAAATCAACATCTAGATGCCTGTGATAATAATTATGTAACATAAAACCTTTAAATTGAAAATGCAACAAGTAAATAAAAGTATTAATTTCTTAATTTAATGGAGATGTAATAAGATGTGATATGTTGTTCTAATATTGGAACGAATGATATATTAGGATTGCATGAATCTTGTATTGTTGATTTAAAACATTCTAAATAACACAGAAAATAAAAGTGTACAGAAGAAGATAGATATGTTACCAACTTTTTAAATCTCTTGCCCGTTCAAGTTGTCAACAAAAATTGGTAAATTGGTGATATGTAGAGCATCTCTCAATTGGTACAAATAGCAACATTACATGGACGTGTGTATCATTAGATTGGACGTTTAAAAATTGTCGAATCCACGTAACTACATCAAACCTAACCACTCGTTTTTAGTTTATGTGTGGTTTGATAATTTTTGGACATCATATTTTGGATCTGTTTTCCAAAAGCTTTGTTTGGAGAGGAGAAAATAAATGATAGTATTATTTATGAGAGAAAATAAATGAAAAGAAATGATACTAATAATCTCTATTTATTTTTGGATAGATTAAAAAGAAAAAAAATGAAATGATAATATTTTTGTTTGGAAATGATAAAGGAGAGAAAATAAGAGAAATGATAACAATCAAATTACAATAATGTCATTTTCAATAGATAGAATATGAGTGGAATAATAATATTTTTCTTTTAATTATTGAAGATATTTTCAGAATTATAAAAATACTACTTAAATACTATTATTTCCTTCCCTTACAACAGATATTATACTTTCTAGTTAAGTTTCAATAGGAGAAAGAAAATTCATGTGATATTCTACTTTTCATCTCATAAAGAGAATTGAACCGTCCTTTGACTAAATGACAAAAGTTAAGGGTTTGTTTGGTTTGTAATTCTGAGAACAGTTTTCATTTTGCAAAAAATTGAAAACAGAAAATTGTATAAAAAACTCAACTTGGTTCAGTTTTTTGAAAACTCTTGTTATAAAAATGTTTGCTCTCAAATAAATATTTTTATAATTTTTTTAAAACAGTTTTCTATTCTTTGAATTTTTTAAAACTATTTTTAAAATTACAAACTAAGCAGATCCTAAAGTTGTGAGTTCTCTGTACGCTGGACTCAAAATACAAAATAAAAGCTAAAAATATACATTTACAAAAGAAAAAGGAATTTACGAACTTACAATGTAATTTCAAAGATATGCCTGATTTAATGTCGGAGGGCATAGATGCACCAATGGCCTGGATACCATCCTTGGACCTCCACGTGTAGCTTAAGTTCTTTTTAGCAACTTTCAGGCTTCCCACTCGCGAAGTAGCGGATCCCCTCCCTGTCCAGGGGCAATCTATGCCGTCCGTGTACATCCTGATTGGGTTGCACACATCACACGTCTCGTATTCCTCCTTGGTTTTAAGCTCCACAACGCTCTCCTGTGCTAATGAGTATCTGAACCCCGCCCACTCAACCAACCCCCAACTTTTACATTGCGATTGCTTTTTAGCTCTTTCTTTGGGCAAGGTAAATGATCATTTGTTACAAATAAAGTAAAAGAAATTTAAAACACAACACCCTAAACCCTATTTTTTCCTAAAAAAATAAAATCTGTTTGGCAGGCAAGAAAATAGAGGAATTAGGTAAAAAAAAAAAGAAAAAAAAAAGGGTCTCATTCTTAAATTTTTATTAATAATTACACTCACATTCCCTGTAAATTGTGTAAATAACATAGATTTTTCTATAATTTTAAATATAATACTGAAGTGCCATGTCATCGTTATTAAATGACTATTATATTTATTGCACTTTTATTTTATTTTTTTTGGTTTATTTATTTATGTAGAATATTTCTGTGGTTATGAACAAAATAGCCTACAATAAAAATTGTAGAAGAGGTCATAGTGAACCAAAAAAAAAGTGAGTGTTATATTTAAAATTAGATGGGGTATTCATATTATTTAGGTAATTTATAGAGGAAGTAAGTGTAATTATCTCAATTTTTTATTAGCTATTTGGGATGCCAAAAAAAAAATTATTAGCTTTTTTTTGTTCAATTTTTTTGTCACTTTGATGTTATTTTTATTATTATTATTATTATTTTTTCTCCCCAGTCTTCTCTCTCTTTCCCTTTTTTGTCTCTCCTCTGTTGCTCTGTTTACTCTTCAAAAACCTCTCTACTCGGTTTCTGCTCTGTGAGTGGTGTATGTAATTTTGAAACATTTTATTTTGTAAACTCTCACAAATGCTAAAAAATATTCAACCATCTATTGTATCTACAATATTTCAATCTTTAAAGAGTTATGTCGCATTGTTCTAATTGTCCACCTCCTTTATTTATTTATTTATTTTTGTAACCATGGAGCATTACTCCTTGGTTAACAGTTAAATAATTAAATACCAAATATGATTAACCATGCAGCATATTTTTTTTTCTTTTTTTTAAAAAAAAAAAAAAATCTCCTATCTTTCGTTATGTGTTTCTGGTACTATTTAATTTATATTGTTTTGATCATTTTGTTACACTTCTAATATGTTTTTTAAAACACATCCAGCTTCGAATTCAAATATATACTATCAACAAAGTTACTAAACTTACATGAATATATAATATGGAAGCCAAACTAAATATAAATTTATTATAATATATTTTTATTGAAAATATAATTCTTCATTGTACAATAATTATTTTAGTAAGATTATTGCTGGGATATGTTGGCAAATTTGAATTTAAACATTATTTGTTTGAATTTTAGATGGGATGGAGAGGGTGTGTTGGATACTGGATAGAATAGTTGAGAGAAAAGTAAATTGATAGGATTTTAGAATGCTCCAAATAATATCTAAAATATCTATATACAATGGTAGATTATTCTAGAGATTTTTAGACTATATTTATACAACTCATAACTCACACAAGGGTAGAGAAGTTTAGAATATTGCCTTCATATTTCAAAATTTCAAAAGAGTTGTTTCATCTTTGACATTAATTTTCACATAATTTACTTACCAAAAAAACGACATTAATTTTCACATAATTTCTCATCTAGACTACATCATGGACATTGTTATGTGTGATACTATTCTAGAAAATTTTGAGACATAATTTCATTGCCTGTAAGTTGTAATTTTAGATTAAATAGTTTTAGAATTGACAGGAGAAAATATGTGTTCAAAATATCTAACATACCAATAAAAAATAATAATAATTCCTTGACCTCTCCCACTCCTCACCTAATATAGAGTTGAGACTCTCGGCCTATAAAGATTCATAAAGTCTAACGGTTGGGTTAATATACCGGTTACATTAAAGATTCATAAAGTCTAACGGTTGGGTTAATATACCTTAATATACCGGTTACATTAATTGGCTTAATGGGATTGATCTGCTCTTCAAACTCAAAAATACATCTTATCTTCCCTCTCTGTTGCGAATTCCTCGCCGATTTTGCAGATCAAATTCTGGGTGGGTTCTTCAGACGTCACGGAAGACTCTTAAGCTTACCCCGTGTGTCACTATATTGGATGTTATAGTTGTATTTTTAGTGTGCGCGCGCTTAGATAATTGTTGGACATCACATTTTAGATCTTTGCCCGAATGTGATTTGACCTAAGGGACAGAAGCTAAGGTTGTGATTTCTCTATATGCCGGACTCGAACAGAAGCTAAAAAGAATTCATGAGCGTCTGATTTAATATTCGACGGAGATTTATAAATTTAAGCATATCAATATACATACAGAATCAGCCAAGACTATCCGTTGAAAAAATTATGCATATCAAGTGGGTAACGTAGAACTATACAGTGTAACAGTGAAACAAGCCTCCAGCTAAATTTCTGAATGGGGTTGCACTTGACAGAACAATGACAGACAACACCATGTACACATGCTGGGGAGATGTCATAAATTACACATATCATGCAGTTTTTTGCAGTGTCAATAATCTCCAAAATCCCTCTCCTGGATTATCTGCCCAAGCCTCGTGAACAGGGCTTGCTGATCCTCGAGGGTGAGGTTCATCAATATCTAAAATCATAGTGATGCCATCAACAACAGATTTTCACAAATTTATTAACTAATTTGAAGTGGAAGATAGATCCAAAAGCACATGAAATTAATTGACATTTACTTTACCTGGTCCAAGATCGTCTCAACTGAGAGGCTTTGAGGCACAACAAATGATTGATGATAGATGTATGCAAATACTGCCATCACCATCTGCACGAGGAATACACATTAAGCCCAGTATTAGATAAGCATTGCAACAAGGGCAGGGACACGTAGAAATATGGAAAGGCAGCATCATGAGAGTTATAACTGTTGAACCAGAATTCTACTCTATTATTTTCTGAATTATAGTAGAGTAATGCATTACTAGTGCCATCTGGACCAACCATACCATTGAAGTGACAAGACAGTTATCGGCTCATCTGACAAAGTTGATGGCTCTCGAAAATGAATAGATTGCCCATGCTCATTAGCAGGAAAAAGACACCACGGAATATGTGAACTTATTGTTCAAAGACTAATAAAACATCCCAACATCAATAGAGTGCCACGTTATGTATCAACAGTACAATCTAAACAAAGGTTCATCCAATATGGAAGCTTCAATGCCTCCACATCAAGGAGACAATGGACATTCAATGTTACACACACACACACGACAATAACAAGACCATGACCATGCTCAAATCTAAGATCAAAGCACATCCAGACAACAAGGCAACAGACAACTGATTTGCTTGATACCATAAAAAAGTGAAAAATAATGACAGAAAATAAAGGTCAAGAAAACATGTGTGAAAATATAATTACCAATTAATTTAGGCGTAGAAAAATGATCCAAAAACCATGGTTAATGGTAGCCTGTATTAATTGTATAGGCCAATCAATACGGACAGCTGCATGCTTGTGAATAATAGGTGAAAGACAACTTTATAAGGGTTCTGCAAACTATATTTTCCTGTTTCTTCTGTATTTTCTCTTTCCTGGATAAGTGTTTTCAGTACTTAACTTTTTCATTCATTTATGGTATCAAAAGGTGGGATTTAAAAGCTCTAATTTTTTCCCCATTTAACTATTTTGTGGTTGTTTTTGTTCATCCTGGTGCATATATTTCACGTTTTAATGCTCTTGGTGCAATTGCTACAAATTCTCATAATACTCCATCCTTTATCACAAAATATTACAACTCAACGATCATAACCATGTCCTATTGACAGATATATGGAAACCAACATAAAATAAACTGCACAAAAGAAGTGTATATTGATGGACAGTTTTCCCTACTTAATGTATCCAAGACCAGCCTTCGATCAGTTTTTTGTCTTTCCCCACAGTGAGTCCATCAGGAAAAAGTTAAAGCATGAAAATTTTCACTTTATCATGTCATCCCTTTTACGAAGGAAGTCATACCGCAAATTCTAGCCGTAAAACATGTGGGCATAATAGCGGAAATCTAAAGTTAAGTAGTTAAAACATGAAAGGCTAATTACGTCTTTATTGAGAATGTGCTTTTGGAAAGAGGTAATACTCTTTGAAAGTGGAAGGAATAACAGAATTTGTTAATAAGCTTGGTTCGATAAAAGAATAGATTGGTAAACATACCGTTCGATGTTCTTGAATATAAACATTCCACAATTTTTTTCATCTCACCTGGCAATCCATTCTATCTGTCATTCCTCCATGTCCAGGAATACTATCACCAAAATCCTGTAACAAATAAAAAAATTACAAATAGAATCAACATCTATTGCCTTGACATGCATTTATGTATCAATTAATTGTAGGAAAAATAAAATCAGTGAACCTTAATCTTGAAAGCTCTTTTAAAACCACTGGCGAAAAAACCTCCAAAAGGTGCTATTATTGATGCAAAAAGACCAAGACATAATACATGCCATTGAACTGGCAAAATTGGGATCTCTCTCCAAGGAAACTGCAAAAGAAATGACAAATGACTTAGCAATATAATTTAGCCATCATAAATTTTACAAAGACTATTGAGAATCTTTTGCTGAAAAGAAAAGCATGGCTATTAATAGGCTAACAAGTCCTTAAATAGTTCAACTGGTCTTGCTGAATTGATTGACAGATTTGAGAATATGTTAGGCACAGTTCAAAATTAAAATTAAAAAATTGAGAAAAGTATGATGCCCTAAACCCGAAACCCAGAGAGAAGTCTACGGCCGATATCCTCTTGCAAAAAAGCCTCCTATTAGCAAAGAAGTGCACCTCACTTTTACCTTGTAGATCCAATAGAAGATACCATGCATAGTGGCAAAATATCCTAAAGCTCACTAGGGGTGGCAAATGGGTGGGTTTTGGGCGGTCACTAATCCGTTTATGACCCATTTGTAGGGGGGTATAAACGGGTCGGATATTAAATGGTGAGTCAACCCCCATCCAACCCGACGAGTCTTTTATTTATATATTTTTATATTGGTTTGTGAACATTCAGTTCAGTTCATATCCAACCCAATGACTAAAATTCGGGTATGAATTTTTATTAAATAGACTAAAAATTTTCAAAAGACGAACATCTTTCCATCTAATAATATTTTGAGGATGTTTCTTTATATAATTAAATATGAGAATATTTTTCTGCGTAGATTAAGTTAGTTAAATACTTATATATATATTCTTTTTTTGCAAGTGAGGTAATTCATATAATAATCACTTGAAAAAGACCAAAACTTTTAAAATGATTTGGTATCTTCTATTACCCAAGGTACTGAGAAGAGTGAACTACAGACAAGTTGAAATCTCAATCTTGTTCTAAACCAAGTGACTGCTTAATTTCAAACTAAAATCAGTTTTTGTTTTTTTTCTTTCTTTCTTTAACACCTGTTAATCTAAACATTTGTTAATTTATCAAATAGCGGATCCTTATTACAATTCTAGTGTTAAAATAATAACAAAAAGATGTTTCAATTGGAACTATAAATGATAGCAGGGTCATGGCTTGGATATTTGACTTGGATGCATGTGCTTGATTAATTTGTATTCAGAAATTTAGTACAATAACTCATATTATCAAACCTTAATATCACTACAAGAAAGAGCTAGGAGTAGCCATGGATATTGGATATTACTACAAGACTTGAGAGAATTGAGCAAGAAATATGTCTGGGAAGATAAAAGCGAATAAGTCAAGACCTAACAAAAGAAGTAAACCTGAAGTGTCCTGAACACTGAAACCATAAGTGGTCGTCAGCGATCACCGTTGCCAAGAATGGCATATTTGCAAAAAAAGCTTCATTGGCCCCTGCTTTTATATTTATTGGTGGCTGATACGTCGATGGTATGCGCATTAGGGCGACCACCTTTTTGTTCATTTACAAGGTTGGGAACAAAATCATGAAACGCTCTACCAAGAATTGCTTTATCTCTCTAACATTGACATTACCAAAAATGGAGAAATTATTTTTTTTCTAGAAAAGGCTACTACCATTTCGATAGTTACCCAAGTAAGAGCAGGTTCTGAAAAACCGAGGGTTAGCCTTACAAGTTACAACTATATGCAAAGAAGCCATGACCTAGTATTCTTAAGAAACATAAAAAGGAACGCCTCAAAGGTCCCCCATAACCGAAGTCCATAGAAAAAGCAAAAGGCCACAACCTAATATAAAATTCAGGAAAAAAAATAATTAATATAAATACTCCTCTATTTTAAAAAACAAATATATTAAACGCCCAAAATCCTAATAAATTTTTTGCCTCAGGCATCAACTTGTATAGAAACAGCACTTTCAGAGGCACCTTTCCCACCCAAATTAACATAGGAGGAGGACAAGCAAGAGTATACTTTGTTATTATAAACTACATAACAGAATTACAAGAAAAGTATCAACAGAACAGGCTCCAACGTCTAGGATCTAGATAAGGACATATCTGAACATCTTTAAAATTGAGAGAGGGCACAAGCTCAATTATCTCCCAACCATACAAAGAATATTGAAGTCCCAGCGGGAGAGGTAAGCCATAAAATTATAGGTGAGCATACCATCGGAAGTAGAAAGAAAGAAAAGGTGACGAAAAGGCAAACAAAAAGGAGCCCTACCACCCCAAACTAAATATATATATATGTATATCTAACATGACAGTAGAATGAAGAGTACTTGAGTCATATAAATTTCCAAGCCGAATGCAACCAAGATGTTGTCTGATAAGAAATCTGCAAATCTAGTAACCAGTAAAGGCGGTATCTCTAACAACCAATTTAATGGATTCTTCTTACCCTCACTAGAACCACTGCATAAAAAGTCTCTGTGAAGCTTTTCTAGTCTATGAGCAATACTCATCAGCATCCCAAAGAGCGAAAGGGAGTAGGTAGGTTTAGTATACAAGCAATACTAAATTGAAGAGATTCTACCTATTTAAATATGAAATTCTTTCAACCATCTAGCATCCTGCCCACTGCATATTCCTGTAACTCTAGCCTCAAGATTATCACCCAAATAGAGGCCTAACTACTTCACCGGCCAGCTACTAATGGAAAAACCTACGGATTCTAACAACATTTCAATTTTATACCATTGATAATATAAGACAAAGTACTCCTAGACAAGTCGACTTAGACTGATTTTCAGACAAGAATAAATAACTATCTTGAGCGAATTTCAGATGAGTCATGAGAAACTGCAAAATGAATTTTCTGTCACAAAAAAAAAAAAAAAAAAAAAAAAAAATCTAGTATTATGAGTAGAAAAATTTCTACAACCAGAATACAGGATAAAAAAAATGAGCATATAAATTCAAAGCCAATTATTGTCCACTTACCCATTGAGGAATCCATCCTGGCAAAAAGAAGTACTCGGGTTTAAACAATGGACCTGGATCACAATGAAGCCAACCGGTTGATAAATCCTGCATGTGTTATCACCATTAGCACGTGGAGCTAAGTTTCTTTGAAACTGGCAAATATGCCAATTTTTAAACAAGATAGCCTAATTGTAAGAATCACCTTCCTTGGACATGTTAGCCACTGAAAACGACCCAAGATATTTGCAAGCTGCAAGAACAAGTATAATGAGTTCCACATCCTGAATCATGTAAACTACTTGTACAATAATATTTATCAAATCTAATGCCTTGTGCTATTTGAAATGTATGCATGAAATGCATAGGCTCTCTTTAGAAACCTAATGCTGGCAATATAAAATTGACAAAATGTCACGTGCATAAAGATTGGAGAGCAGACAAAAAAAAAAAAAAAATTCAAACATCAGAGCTAACTGAGCCGATCAGTCACAAGACACTTACTCATGGTTGGATGTGATTGAGAGCACAAATCAGGACATGTCATATTGGGTGCGGCAAACATAAAGCATCATTTTTTATTCAAATTGAGGGTTATATAGCTTATCAGGTGGGAGTCGGGACCACAAAAGATCAGATTCAAAAATAAAACTTGGTCTATTCTACCAAAAGATGCTAATCAATAGTCAATTGATATACCGATATAAATGATTGTAGAATTTCTATAAATTTTTAATGTTATTTTATTTGAATTCAAAAAACTAATAGACTAAGAACATCTTAAACACATACACTTTTTTATTTTTTACAAACTCTACTGATAGGCAAAGAGTTTTCATCAAATAGTTACCAACTCTCCATTTTTATTTTTATCTTCTTCTTTTTATGCTTTCTCTATGTGAGCTTCTCAAATTTTCGCTAGTTTCAATACTAATCACCATTGAACCATTATTTTAACAAATCATAGTCACTATTGTGAATCTGGATTTTGAAGGTCATATGATTTCAAATTTGATTTGTTGTTGGTTAGTTAAACACTATTTTTATAATTGCGTATACATATATATCGTGATTGTCTTTATTTTAGCTATTTAAAGGTTAATTTCTAATAATTTTATATATTTTTAATCAAGTGCATTGCAAGTGTTTCTTTTACTAGTATTTACACACACACACACACACACACACATGTAAGTGTTTATCATTGTCAAATAAAAGGATACACTGCTCACCACGAATGCAGAGATAACAGTTGTAACAGATGCTCCAATGAAACCCTCCCATGTTTTCTTCGGGGATAACTTGATCAAAGGGGTTCTTCCAAAGAAGAAACCGAAGATATAAGCAGCAATATCATTGATAACAATAAGTGATGCTGGAAGAAGGAACCTGCAATAAAAAATTAACCCGTGTTGGAATTCTTTCCCTATATTTTCTTTCTTTGAATGTTAGTTTGGTCTATGCACTTGTGCAAGTATAATACCTTTTCACCTTCCAAAAACAGAGAGGGGTGGGGGGAGAAGAGAGAGCGCAAGAAATGATTGAAATACTCATGCAAACACACCCCAACCCCACCAAAAAAAAAAAAGTTCATGTTACGTAATACTAAAAAGGCAGCAGAAGAGACTATTGCTGGGTATGGGGTGTCCTCTCAAATGCTACTTAAAAACTTCCAAAATTTATCTTTATCTTATTCCCGGTTTGTCTCCATTTTCGTGATATTACTACTCATGGAGCACAGCCAAATAAGTCATCGAAGGGTCTGTATGAATGTGGAACAGTAGGCGTTAACATTTTAAAATGTCCTATGGTGATAAAATATACTTTCAAGCCTGACAAGTAGGGGTGCCCGAACTCTGAAGTTACTTAAAAACTATGCCTTTTGAACAAAATGTGATGTCTGTCTCAAAATCAAAAAAAGTAAATGGGCTCATTGGCATATAACTTTAATTTGAAAATCTATGCTCTTTGATAATGAATTGACATCACGGTCTGATCACCTTTCTACTCATAATATTGCAAATATAAAAAATAAAATAAAAAGAATTAAACAACACAAGGACCAGAAAGAGAGCAGGAGGGCCACCTCCCAAAAGTAGTTTCCACAAGAGGGTGTACAATATCAAATAACAATTAACCAATGACAAAAATGATTTACAGGATATAGTCTGATGTAACTAACAGATGCAAATGAGATTTGTAAGTTGTGTTACCAGAAAATTCCTTCGAAAATGTTGGCTACAGTGAAGGAGGATTGCGTAAAAACCACAATTAGAATCATGTGTGTCCATGCGTATTGGCTAAATTGATACTTGTACATCTTCTTCTTTAGTGTAAGAATGAACCACATAAAACCTGATTCCAATTAAACAGAGATCAAAATTAGCAGCAATGTCTCATATTTTATATGTAAAGGTAATACACCACACAGTAGGGATGCAACTTGGAGTCTTGGACGGGCTAACCTGAACTCAAACTGAGCCCAACTTGATTTTTCATGGGATTGGACAGCCATTTTCTACGAATAGGGGTTGGACTTGGGTTGAAAAACTCTAAACCAATCTTATTTTGAATGAGTTCATGTGAGGTGTTGACAACCCGAATCCGAATCCCAATCAGAACATGACTTTGTATATATTTAAAATGTATTATACTATTTTTCTTAAAATTGAGATCAATATTTCTTCAGTTTAATTTTCTTTAAATCTTGATTTATTGTAGTATACAAATACTTTGGAGAATTAATTTCTTGAGAAATTGTTTATAGTTTTTCACATATTTACATGTTTTTCACATATTTACATTCAATTTTTAGAATTGTTATGCTTAGGTGTAACCCAACCCCAGGCTAACTCAAGATCAACCGGAATTTCAGCATGATTTTATAACCCAAACTCAGCCCAAGTTCAAAATTTTGAACACGGTTGGGGAGCTTGGTTGAAGGTCGGGTTGGGTTGGACTTGGTTGAAAGTTTTATATCAGAGTTGAGCCTATGTTGAGCCCTCAATCCGTCCAACCCGCTTGGGTTGCACCCCTATCGAACAGCAATAAACAAGCAACAGGACCAGCAAGCATATAAAAAAGAAAGCATGTTATCGACTGAAAAGGATCATAAAACCACATATTTACAAATTAAATTTCATTTCAAATGGACATTATCTGCAATTTATATACAGGTTCAACAATACACTGCTTAATATCAAGATTACTCAAAGCCATTGCACATAGAAATAAACAGAACAGATAAAACCAACCTGCAATATACAAGAAGTAACAGGTAGCCATATGGTACTTGATGAAACCGCTCACAAGCTGATATAATAATCTGCCTGAAGTGACAGTGTTGACGAGCCGTTGATTGAGAAAGCGGCCATATACAAATAACATGGCAGTGAAGAAAAAGTGCCTGCGAGAGAGGGAGGGAGGGAGGGGGAGAGATAGAGAGAGAGAGAGAGGAAAGTCAGGAAACAAAAACATAAAAACATGTCATAAGAAGCAACAAAATTATTTCAATATCATCATTACAAATATCATTTGAAGATCATTGTGGAAAAAAATGGCCGTTTGGGAAAACCACGGAAAGAGGCCAAAAAAAGGACAAGCTGAATAGTTCAATGATAATAACACGTTTGCTAAGCATTGCACAGTTGTGTAAAAGCTTACAGCATTCAGAAAATGATGCATAAAAGTGCCCAACAAAAAACAAACAGAATGTTTGTTCTCATCAGAACTAGATGGCAAAAGCCAGATCTGGCCCACTTTGAAAAACTCTGAAACAGCCATTACTTCAACCAATCAAATAGCTAACACTAACTGACAACAGCTCTCCAAGGAACAACAAGAAAAATAAGTTGACAAGTGGTCAAGGTTCTGGTTTTGCTTACCAATTCAATAGCCTAAATCCTGGGAGGCGCTTATCTTCGTGGGCTTTCCTAAGTAAATTGAACAGCTCACTTGCCATAAATATTTGGATAATAACCACCATTGCCCAAATGTAGAGATGACCCATATAGATTATGAATGCGAAACCCCCAATCATCCAAATGGATGAATATGCACGGATCCACATTGACCTGTATTTGCTTTGGTCATTTACAAGTAAATGGCTTCCATTTGCTTTTCCAACCTCCACAGGAACCTGACAGGCAACAAAAGACTACGATTAAGAAAATCATAGACCCCTAAACTTCAAAAAATGTAAAAATCCCCTTCTAGATTAAAAGCATAAGCTCATCGAACTAGCTAACCACAACGCATTTCCAATAAAATTAATATTAGTTTTTCCGGAATCAGCATTATTAATCAAGTTTAATAAGGTGTGCACTAATATTTAAGAAACAATGTATAATTGCTATTAACAAGAACAAGTATAGTTATATTGGCTCCAGATAAAGGCACAATAAAATTCAGTAACCAACCTCATTTGAGCGTTTCCGGTGCCGAAGACGTCCAGTAGGTGTTGCGGGGACACCACTGTCATTATCCTTTTGCATGGCTCTTCTATTTATTTTTCACTCAACTAACAAAAGATATCAACATGTGTGTAAACACAACACCCTGAAAGGTAAAAACTCATGGTCAAAAAATAAGGAAGCAAATGTAATATTGCAAATTTAGAGGGAAAAAATAGTGCAATACAGAAAATAAGGAGAGCAATTCTAATAAGCTAAAGGGATATCTTTAGAAGCCTAATAGTATGGAAAGGAAAATAACTGAAACTTCTATCATGATTCATGGAACAACTATTTATATATCATAGTGTTAGTACTGCAAATTTATCAGTGTTAGAAAAAAACAAAACAAAGAAAGAATCACAATGAAATCTTCAAAAGAAGTCAACCTTCAAATGGCAGAGAACCAAAGATGAACCAGCACAAATTTCAGTAAATGATAATAAAAACAAGTAAATGTTAGTAAATATAGCTTTCTCTATTTAAAGTAGAATTATTTCAGCCAAAGCTAAAGAGGAAACTGGATGGAGAATTGCTGCCTTCCTCATCCACAGAAGCCAAAATATACATGTACATAAGAAAAAGGAATCTGCCAACTTAAAAAGTAATTTAAGTGGTATAGTAAGGTGATAAGACACGTCATCCAGATAAACCAATTGATGATGAAGTATAACAAGGTGAAAACAAAGGAAATTTGGAGACAACCAAACTACCTTGTTCATTCTTACTCAACTACCCAGGACTGTTTCACAAGTCTAGTTTCCCTCATCCACCAAAATCTGAGTAAGAATATATGCCAACATGTCTTCTTACCATTTGGCCTTCCATTTTCCTTCGAGCACCATACACCAAGACTTCTCTAGGTTATGAGGACTTGGGTATGGGTTTCAAGTGTGCGTGAGTGTATAAGAGTCCAATTCATCCATCCCTCAAATTATATAATACAATGAATCAGCTAAAGGGTCCAAATTTTGGGTACGGATAAACATAGCTAACAAATATTTTCATTAATCAACACGCATCGCTATATTACTTTTTTGTTGCTTAATGCGGGGATCTATTATATGGCCAAAAGCAACAGATAATACTCATTAGGATAGTAACTTATATAACAAATTATTATCACCTTTGGTAATACGGGAACAGTGGACATGTAGACTGTTAATTATCTCCTCTTTGAGTTACAAGAGATCCTTCCTCCTATAATGAAAAGAATAAAGAAGGCATGCCACCAATCCACATGTCCCTTCAATCTTAACTCAATTTATTATGGGAAGAAAAAAAGAACGAAAACGAAAACAAAACAGGACATGCTACCTGTTCACTAATAGGTATGTTAAGTGAATAGGACTTAGGTTGGCATATTTCATGGACCAAAACTAGATGTAATTTTTTTTTTTTAATTTTAGTTTAATCAGAATTTTAAAAGTTAGTTAGTGTCCTGTTAGTTACCTCTTGGTCATGGTCAAAGATGAAATTCAAGCTTCAATAGTGGCAGAAGTATAATTTTTTACATCAAAGGTATAAAGTTAAATTGACACTGCCATGCACTCACCAATTTTTATTTTTATTTTTATATAAGATTTTAATAAACCCTCACCATGTATTAGGGTTCATGTAATAGGATTTTCAGAATTCATGAGTTTATCTGAAAAAATCTAAAGTGATATGCATCAATAGTGTTTTTGAAAACTTCCTTCTTTTTTTTTTTTTTATAAGTATTTTTGAAAACTCCTTTACTTAAAATTTCCAAATATAAGATTCCTGGCCACTTCGACAGATCAATGCGGATCAATTGAAGGCTAGTTGACATGTTCCTCGATCTATGAAGCCACTCGGGGAGTCAGTTTCCTTTTTAGACAAAAACAATAAAACCCTATTCTCCCTACAACTATAGTTTGTCTATATTATCATCCAGCTCCTTGCAAATGAAAGGATTCAAAACCTTTCCAGTCTTCTGTCCAACGAGCAGCAAGCTAAGAGGGCTCCTCTAGTTATCCGGTATTTTGAGTGCTTTCATACATATGTCTTTAAGCATTCATCAATTGCATTAGATTGGTGAGTGTTATAATAGTGTGTTGACATACATCACTGCTGTGGAGCTGATTGAAGAGTTCAACACCAACGGACAATCAATCAATCGAGATTGGAGTGGACGACTAGTGCAGAGATCAGAATTGCTATTGAAGAAGCAGATTCATGAGGAGTGAAATATGTTAACGAAGCTAACTGTGTGCCTGAAAAGTCCTTGTGTGAGTTAGTGGGATAAGTCTGTGTCAAGAATCTAGTGTAATATCTATTCTGATAGTGGATTTTTTATTTGACTGGATTATGTCTCATGATTTTTCCTGGTTGGGTTTTTCACATAAAAGTCTTAGTGCCCATCATTCATGCTTTTTTCTACTTTCACTTACATTTGATTGAATGGTTGTTATGACTAGCATGATGAATTGATAGATATTGGATATTTAGTTTTAATTTAAGTTCCCACCCTTCTCTCTCTCCCTCCCCCTCTAGGTCTAAATCACGGACCTTGTGCTAACTCTCTATCAGTGCCTATGTTTTCAGTCGTTACCAACAATACCCTTTGATTCTATGTGCCTAACAACATAAAATGTATCTTCCACCACTAAATAATGATCCGTTCATAGCTGTACATTAACTAAAATTGTTCGAGCTGAAAACTTAAGTGCGAATAGTGGAAGGAGATAGGGTCATTCACCATCAAAATGGATAGCTTAACTGCAGATAAAACAAACAAGTATCTTACAGTATTAAATTTCTATCAGATAAATAACTTTATTGTCCCGCTACTGTTAGGTTTGCTAACATTATAGAGATATTTCAAGTTGTTAATCAACTTCATTTCACAACTTATTTCAAGTCCCAAATACTGACTGGTGTAAAAATACAATTTATATATACATGTTTGTGTGTGTGCATACAAAAAAAAAAAAATTAAAAGTGGATCTCGAAATTGACATTTGTAGCCCATAACATGAAAGAAGATTTAAGAATATAAATAACGCTTAAAGCGTGAAAGGAAGAAGCAATTCTTACAATAGAACTCAAATTTGCACTCCCAGAGACCTTACTTTTCAGATTTGGAACCTGAAAATGAATTACACACACAAAACACACACACACAGAGAGAGAGAGAGAGAGGAAGAGAGACCTGCTTTGCTTAAAAGCTCATAGAACGCAAACTAGAGAGAGATAGAGTGGAGGAGGTCCAACGGTAGATTCGATTCCAAACAAGTGTTACGAGGAAGGCAAAAAGGAGTCCTCGGTACTATTTCTGTGGAAGAACAACAACTTTAGAATTATAAACCACCAGGATTTTATTTTTTTCGGCTCTCTTCTGGTCGAACTCCAAAAACAGGACGAAACACTCTACCCTTTTTTCTCTAATAAGTGAAATGAAATGTCAAAAAAGTCCTTCGAGAAATTATTTATTTATTTTTCTTTTCTTTTTTCGTTACGAAACAAATACAACACACACCAACTTTGTCCCGGGACTTGCCATTAACACTCTCGTTGGGAGGGGCATCACATAGGCTACCCTAGCCAATATATCATTTGAAATGTTTTTGAATTACTAGCAAATCTATAAATTAGGTAAATTCAGATGTTATGATCTTCTTTTTCTTATTTTTTTTGACCTCCACAACACTGTATTTCTTGTAAGATTCAAGTTTTTAACCTTTCTTTTAGGAAGGAGATATTTAGTTTTGGATAATGCAGAAATCTTTATCGATGGAGGAATTATTAGATGATCTAGATTTATTGACACTTGGTGGACTAATTAAATTCAAATTCTCGGATTGAGAAAATGACCTTATATTAATATATTACAAAGAATCTCATAAACTGCTCCACCACATATCAAATGAATTAAAATCATATTAATATACTACAAAGAATCTCATAAACTGCTCCACCACATATCAAATGAATTAAAATCATATTAATATACTACAAAGAATCTCATAAACTGCTCCACCACATATCAAATGAATTAAAATCATCTAATAATTTTTTCACCGAATGAAGATGTATACTGATATAGACTAATAATAAATGGATCTAAATCCTCCCCAATCTATAATGTTTTTTTATTATTTATTATTATTTATAAAAAAATTACAAATGAGTCATTTGCTGCACTGATAAAATGCTTGGACTGTTAAGTGCAACACACCATAGGTTTGCAGCCACTCAAACGGTCAACTATGCATTTAGTCCACACCTCCTAGCACCACATTAAAATAATAATCCTTGACACAAGGAGTATAATTATATATTAACGCAATTCTTTTGAAAATATATTTGTTTAGTCAAAGCATACATATTGATAATGAGACTTGATTTTAGCTAAATTTGTTCAAAAATTTTACCACGGAGGAGTGGTACTATCGAGTTCCATGCCTATTGTTGTTCAAACACTTGTTGTATAATTATGACGTGTTGGCATGTCATTTAAAATAAAAATTGGATACTGGTTTATCGTACGTACCTAACATAGACAACTTTGGATCAAATGGACAAATATATCACCCAATGTACTCTCACAATTATATTATCATAGTTTAGAAGAATCGACAAATAAGGATAAGAACCATGTCGAAGCCATGTGACTTCAGAGAACTTGAAAACTTGCAAGGCTTGAGCAACATCTAGAATAACTCTCAGACCAGTTCGAAACAGATGTGAGATTATCAGAGAATTGCTACAAAACCATTCATACAATTACATCAGATATGCTTCAATACCAACTGTAGCAACAGCCATCTCATTTCACCACTATTCTCAAAAGGGTAAAGCAAAATTGAGTAAATTTAGAGGTTGGCACTCTGGTTATACGCCTCTAATTACCGGCAAAAACGTCCTGAAAACAAGCTAAAAAACCTCCGTTCCAAAAAAATAGGCAATGCTCTGAATACGAAATCCGCATGTATGTCACACTCTTTTGCAGAAGATCCTGCAGCAAATAGGAGATGTCAATCATGTGAAAGAGTACACAAACCAGTTACGAGTTAAATCTGGAAGTAAATATGGTTGGAGCGTGCAAGAATAATATAAAGACGTGTCAAAAATGATCTGTCACATACCCTGCCAAAGCAAGATAATACTAATACACAGTTTTGCTAGCAGTACTTGCTAGGATTTTCTTTGCTTTGGATTAGAGGGACGCCATCCTCCCTCCAAATTATGCGCTCCTCACATAATGCCATGGCAACCTCCACATATAATTGGTGCTCCTGAATAAATATAAAAATAAACAAATAAAAAAACAATTAACAAGTAAAACAGAAGAGAAAAAATAAGGAATGTATTTGTGAGCACTGCCTTGTTGAAACAAATAATAGTAGTTCTTGCAATCCAATTTGAACAGATAATAGTAGTTCAAGCAAATCAATTGTTTCGGAGATGAAGGAAACGTATTGGCTGTTTTAGACAAGTAAATAAATGGGATATAAATTCTCAAAGACCTCAGAAAGAACTCTTGCTGCCAGCTCGTCTGCAGTGTCATTAGCAAGCACGGGTACAACTCTTTGAGCAAGGATACGCCCTGTGTCATAGTGCTCATCAACAAAATGGACTGTAGGTCCCGAGTATCTAAACCAGCAAAAAAAAATGAAAAAAAAGGGAGTTACCAAGAATGCTTTTAAACGCACAAAAGAAAAAAGAATAGAAAAATAAATAAATAAATAAATTAAGAGAGGCTGAAATGCAGTAATTAGAAGGAAATGAAATAATGAAGACAAAAAGAAAATAAAGCCAGGTGATAAGAGTACGCTTTTGAGCTCCTATATGCGGACATCAGAACATGAATAAAAAACCTAATCAAGGGTGTAGAAAATGAGAAAAATCAATCCCCATTATTGTCCAGAATGAAGTTTATGAATTCCATAAATGGCCATAGTCTAAAGATACATGCATATCTAAAGAGGAGATACACAGTTTCTACAGACAAATCAAGCTGCTTGTGCATAACTTGGGTTAGCTTGTTAAAAACTCATTCAGATTTGTCCATCTAATAAAGTGAACCAAACTCACTTTAGTTTCAAGCTCAATTATTCAATGAGACAAACTTGGCTTCACCATACTAGTGGACAATTGAATGGGTGTTACTAAGATGGTTCCTTTAGTACCTTTTCTTCGATAAGAAACCCTTCGATAACTCAACCAACTAAATACCCCAAAAGTGAAGGTTGACAAATGATGTAAAGCTTTTAAGCTAAGATGAAGAAATGAGTAACATCTTATGAACATTGATTTATACCACTGACAGTAAGTAGTAACATAATCACAAATAAAAATGAAAACTTCGAAAGGCGGTGGAATCTTGGCCAAACAACACTAACATACAAAACAAATTGAACAGGTCAATCAAACTAAGTTCAGTCTCAAGTCAATCCATTTTTTATTTTTTTATTTTTCTGATAAGTCCAGTCAATTCAAATTCAACCAACCCAGGTTTATATCAACCTGGTTACTCTACTCTCGGCAAGGCCCATTTGCATCCCAAGTAAAACCGATGGTTGAGTGGTTTTTGTGTTCTCAAGTCTCCAACACAAACACATGGGTATGAAGTGTTAGTGAATAAAGAGAACTTTAGAAACTTGACCTGTTTTAACGAAATATCTCACTAACCCAACATACAAATTGAGATTTGATGGTGTCGGAGAGACAGATATGCAAGTGATCAGAACAGGTTTTCTCGAGCAGTAACAACTCAATAAATCGTGAAACATGCAAAGTATAATAAAAAAGGCAGACAGATATTCCCCTAAACAAGAAAAGTAAAACAGTTACACAACTGAATGTACCTTGCCCCAGAAGCAATGACGGCCTTATGCACCTTCATACCATAATAACCTTTGCCTCCAAAAGCTGGAAGAAGTGAAGGATGAATATTTAATATGGATCTTGGATAAGCTCTGACCAATCCGATGGGTATAAGTTTAAGGTATCCAGCTAGAAGAATACAGTCAACATTGTATACCCTGTTCATAGTAGAAAAGTAGTTGAGGAAAGAATATGTAAGCCTACAAAATAAAATACAGTAGGGAACTATTGCTATGTTTCACTGAAGAAAAAAGAAAATGCAGAGAGTTTTAACAACAAACTAAACCATGTTGGGGTATGGGAGTTAGACAGGTTTATGAGGCATCAAGTGAACACAATAGCAGGCATATGAGATATAAACTTAGCATAATCAGAGGCCATCTAACTAGTGAAGACAAAGACCATTAAACGCTGACACCTCAGAGGTTTTCAGACTATACATTCTTTCCTATATTGTGTTGCATTTCATTCTAATATTATATTATTCAATTATTCCATAATACCTCTATCAAGGCAAATACACTTCTAAAATCTTTGAACTAACCTGATCAAGCTGGCACACTATAATGACACTCCACAAGAGCTTATCTTTGGACTAACCTGATCAAGCTAGCACACCACATTACACTCCACAAGCTTTTCTATGTATAATTATTCTAGAATGGACCTAACTGCAATTCACTAGCAAAAAAGTTTAGTTATGAACCTTCCAAAAGAAAAAAAAAAAAAAGTGTAGTTATGAAAGTTATCATGCCTCGCGAAATAGGTTTAGAAAAAATCAAATGAGAGGAAGAATAAAATTTAAATTCAGAAATTTAGCTAACAGCCAATAATAACCGACAGAAGACCAAAAATGGCAGAATAACCAGTCATGTATAGCTAAACCTAGCATGCAGAAACATAAATGCCATGAGAAGCAAGTTAAAATTAACAAAATCAAAGTATCCATTGGCTACATTCCTGAATCTCAAATGATGCAAAGAAGAAAAATTAAGAAGTGAAAAATTCGAGGAGTCAATTTGATAGCACTTGAGAATTTTCTACATGGAACACCTGCCATTGATATATGTCCAAAAGATTTCTTATACGAATTTTTTTTATTAGATGGTATTTTCATTTGTTCAGGAAATTTCCTGCTATATCTGTTGACTATTTTCTGACTGCTAGAATATACAAGAGATTCAGGTCTCTGATAGAAAGGAGGGATAAATCACAATTATCATTTTGAAAGAACAAACCTGACCTAAGAGCAGCTACAAGGTCATTAGAAGACAATCCCTCAGGTTCATCTTTCGTCTTGGGGAATAAAACAACTGGAATGCCATTGTCTCTTGCATATTCTGCACCCCCACAACCTGCAGTATATAGGAACTGAGAAAATTAATGGATATGCGCAAGTCACAAACAATGATTCATGCATGACATATAAATTTTAAGGTTTTTCTTACTATTCCTTTCACACAATCATCGTTTCTAGAGAAGGGAAAGCATAGAAGGAAGGACAGTATCGTCCTCCTCATGTAAGGTGAGTGCCATGAATGGTCACTTTTCTTAATAATAAATTCATGAAAATATAAACTGAAAGCTGAGCATATTGAGGAGGTTTAGCCTCTTATCCCTCACCTATCCTTTACTAAGCATGTCTAAAATCTGATAGCAATAAGCAATCAAATGATAGAAGCCTTGAAGTTAGAAATTTTCTGTACATATGTATTCACAAAAATTATAAGTGCAAAACTGCAGAACTTTATATCCCAATCCAAAGCCCCCAACACAACAAATTACAACAGCTTGTGGAATTTTGAAAAAACAATCAAATGATAGAAGCCTTGAAGTTAGAAATTTTCTGTACATATGTATTCACAAAAATTATCAGTGCAAAACTGCAGAACTTTATATACCAGTCCAAAGCCCCCAACACAACAAATTACAACAGCTTGTGGATTTTTGAAAAAACAAGTGAGAGAAAAAATATTGAATCAAAAAATGTTCAAATTTCAACCATTCCAAATCTCAAACATTTGATGGGCATGCCTAATTTGTATCACACCAACTATAATTAGGATCATAGTGTAGACATACCATGCTTGTTTGTTACCAAGACAACAATGTCTCCATGAACCGATCCTCTGAGAGTTGCCTGGTGAATCGCCCGAAAGTTTGAACCTCCACCGGAGACAAATACAGCGAGATTTTTTCTTCTAACTCCATTTTCCAAATCTTCCCCATTTCTAGTTGTGTCCTCCACTTGTTTTTCACTGTTTATACAGTGCAGTTTCTTCCTAAACCCTACAACCTGTGACGTGAGACAATGATGAGTCTTGAAGGGTACCCGTTTCAGGACAAGTGACGCTGACGATGAATGGGGCAGTGTTATATGTAAAGATTTTTTAGGTATTTGAATTGGTGGAATGGTTGAATTTGAACAAAACCCAGAAAACAAGTTTTGAGCTTCCATTCAAAATGTATTCCACGGGTTGAACTAGGGTTTTTGTGCAACCGAGGGTTTCTTGAGTGAAAGAGGCAAGAGGGAAGGGACCGTTCGTCGAAGAGAGAGTGACGGGTTGCAGAGACCGTGTTGTGTGTGCGCTAATATACAAATTAAATATATAGAATTAGGTTTTATTAGGCTTCATTACTTTGCAAAGTTTTGAAATTAATTTTAAATAGTTAGAAAATTTAATATGCAATTCTTAGTTGTGTATTATATTTAGTCTATATAATGAAATATCAACATATATTCTTAATTAACACTGAAGAAATTAGGTTTTGTTACCATGCAAAGTTTGGAAAGTAATTTTAAAAATTTAGAAAAATTAATTTGCAATTATATATTGATATTAATACTAAAGTGTAATATACATGTACTAACTTTTGCAAATTTTACATTGAAATATGTTGATATTATATTTATGTATAATAATTTTAAGCATAAAACTAAATATAATTATTAAACATATATTTAGAAGGAAGAAAACGGCAGTTTTGTCAACTTAAAAAATAATAATAACTAGATTATTTCAATTTTAAGTAACAGTACTCTTTTTAAAATGAAAAAAGACGGTTTTAGTTTGTGTAGGGAGATTTGGATGAAAGTGACATTTGTGGGAAGTACTCCGTAAATAGATTACCTCCTATAAGTGTCTGCTAGGATATAAGAAGAGTATTGTTAATATTAAATTTATCTAGTAATTATAAAGAATAGTATTTTATTTGAGAAAAAAAAAAAAGTTGACAGTCTTAATTTTTTTCTTTTCTTGATATCTTCATAAGATGAAAATTTGTAAACCAAAATAGATGACTCATTTGTCTTATTTTTTCTTCTCTCTTTATCTCTTATCTATCAAAGGAAGGAAGATTTTTTCTTCTCACCTTATAAATGTAAATTGTCTTTGATTCAAATTTTTAAAAATATTTTCAAGAAATTTAAAACTAAAATTTTATTTTAAAAAATTATAAATGATTGTTATTTGAAAATTGTGTTTTTTTCTGCTAAAAAAGAAAAAGAAAAAAGAAAATTGTGTTTTTTTTAAACTAGTTTTTTAAAAAAACTGTCAACTGGTATTTGTACTGTTTTCAAAATTTTAATCATCTGAAAAAGAAAAAGAAAAAGAAAAAGAAAACAAACAAACCTAATTGTTTTGAAACTCATTGACCATGTGAAAACTTTTATAGCATCTTCCTCTTTAGTTTTTATTTTTTGGGAAGGTCGTATTGGTCCTTAGATTGTAACTAATTAAACATAGTAATTTGTTTTAGGGTTAAGTGTATAAAACCCTTTTGTAATATAGATTTTGTACACAAATAATCTGTCCTTTTTGAAAATATATATTTTAGTCCATAAAATTCAAAAAATATTCAAATAAGTTCCTCTAACCACTTTTTTGTCAAAATTGTCATTAAATAAATTTTAAAACTCTAATTTACCCTTCTCTTCCTATTATGCCATTTTCTAAGGGACTCTCGGCCGCCACATCACTGCCATAACACTTACTAAAAAACCACCACCACCCCCACATCCAAGGACAATATTTGCCTACTCACCGGTAAGTATGAAAGTTTATACTTACCCTGGTGTGGCGCAAAAATAATGTGACAAGTGTCCCTAAAATATAAAATAATAAAAATAAAAAGAATTGAATGTTAACCGGGTCAACCCAAAAAGATGCAAAGCAAATCCTGATTTAACTTTTTGCCCTTTTTTTCTCTCTCAAGCTAGTCCACTAAAACCCTAATTTGCTAATACCGAAAGTTCTGACTTTTAATCTTTCATAATTTAATGTGTAATCTTTATATATACTTATCAATTGTTTTTACCTAAAGTACACCCAATTACATAAAATTTGGTTTACATGGTTTGATAGATGATTTGTTGATTGTAGGATAGATTGTTATTGTTTATTTCTTGTCTTCTTTTTCTTTTTACAGAAAACAAATATCCATAGTTATTTTTTCCATTTATCATGTAGAGCTTTGTTTGTACCTTGTAATATTATTTTATTTAAGAATTTTAGCTTAAAATGTTTTTTTTCGACAAGATCACCTTCTTATTCACTTTCTGGACAAAAAAAGTAGGGAAAGAGGGAGTTAGATTTAGATCATATTGGATTTAATCCGGATAACCTCTCAAATCTTTTAATTTTTATTATTTTATATTATATGAAACGTGTTCCACTAATTTTGCGCCACATCAAGGTAAGTATAAACTGCCTACTCACCGGTGAGTAGGCAAGTATTGTCCCGCACCGAATACAATAAAAAAAAAAAAAAAATGCTACTGTGAGCTTCACACGCGGCGAGAACAAAGCTTGAGAATAGAAGGTAAGGTAAACAAGTCTTATGTCTAGCTGATTGAAATCATTTGTATGACGGGAGTCACCGTGGACGAAGATGTTTGTAATGATGAAGATGTTGACGTTGATGGTGGAGATGTGGGAGATGATGACTTTGAGGCAGCAATGATGGATTGGTTGGATTAGGTTTTGGGAGCGAAGAGGGACCAAAACAATTATGTAGCCGCGGCAGTGAGAGCACCATAACTGATGCCGAATAGCAAAGCCCCGATGGCGCTGAGGACATTAGTAGAATCCAAACGGCAAGGGACTTTTCTTAATGTCAGCGACTCAGCGTCAGTGTCGGCAGAGGCGCGATCGACAATAATGGTGTCGTATGAGGGGAAATGGGGGAGGTAAAGCTTGGGGTCGAGTTCTCTGACCTCGGTGAAGAAGAAGGTGGAGGAATCGACCATTGGATTGGGAAATTAGGGTTTTGATTCAAGGGGGCGGAGGAGGATGTGGTGGTGGTGAAGAAAATTAGGGTTTTGTAGGGCTGGAAGAAGCGGGCGAGTCTGTATTCCCAAAATTAAGGTTTTATAAAGGTGTAAGAGACGCCATGATAGAGAGAAAAAGTTTGGGAATTGTCTAAAATAGTAATTTTACCTTGCATTATTTTTTTATATTATTTTATTTTACTGATAAGAAGGTATTATAGTATTTTTATGATATTAGGGGGGTATTTATACCAAATTGATAGTATAAGGAGATTTTATACTAGATATATATATATATTTGCACTACATCTATAATATAAGGGGTTTTTTTCGCACTTAACCCTTTGTTTTATTAATTATCTTCATTACTAGTTTGTTATCAATTATAAAAGTATTCTCCAAAATTAATTATTTGTGTTTGGTGTGCAAGAATGGAATGGAATTAAATGAAAATGAAAATGGAATGGAATGGTCATTCTCATTCTATTGTTTGGTTATAAACACGAAATGTGTAAGAATGAAATGATAACAACATTCCGTGGTTAGTTGAACTAATATAAAATTTAGAATGAAATGCATTTCAAATTGAATTCTCTAAAATAACCCTTTACTAACAAATAAATTAAATTAACAATATAACATTATTCTATATATATATATTTTAAAAAATATAGAATAGTGAAAGGCGGTGGTGATAGTAAAAGGCGGCGGTGGTGGCAGTGGGGGAAGGCGATTGTGGTGGTGGTGAAAGTTAGTGGCGGTGGTGGTGGAAGGCGGTGGCAGTGGTGAAAGCCGGTGGCGATATTGGTGGTGGAAGGTCGCAGTGATGTTGGAAGCAGTGGTATAGGTGATAATGATGGAAGCCAGTGGCGGTGGCGGTAGTGTGGTGGTGGAAGGAGATATTAGTGTAGGTGGAGGTGGTATAAAACAATGGAGGTGATAGTGGTGGTGGTGATGGTGGAAAGTAGTGGTAAAAGTCGGTGGCGATGGCGGTGGTGGAAGGCTGTGGTGGTAGTGGTAGTGGAAGTCAATGGAGGTGTTGGAAGGCGGTGGTGGTGGTGGTGGTAATGGAAGTCGATGGTAGTGGCGGTGGTAGAAGGCAGAAGTGGCAGTGGTGACGATGGTGGTGACTTTGAACTTGGAAAATTATCGGGTTATGAAGGTGATTTTTTTAAAAAAATTATTTGGGAATGGAATGGTTATTTCATAGGTTTAGTTGTGAAATTGATTTTCATTATAGGAATAAATTTTCATTCCAATGAAACAATTATTTTACTTTAAATTGCATACCAAATAAATGAATTATTATAATGTGCATTATATTTCATTCATGCATGCCAAACGCATGATTTTGAACGAAAACGATGGAGCAAGGGTAACGAATGGAGTTGGATCTCCTTATACTTAAGTTCACTTTTAAGGATTTATTATTATTTTTTAATATAAATTGGGTAGGATAATACTTAGCTACTCACCGGTGGGTAGCTTCACGCTACTCTCCCCTCATGTATTCCAATAACAATATACCATATCAACTTTAATAACCAAATAATCCACGTTCTCTATATTTTCTCAGATCAACCATTGAATAACTTTTTTTTATTAAAACTGATGTAGTATGTTGTTATTGGAACACCTGAGGGGTGAGTAGGGTAAAACTACTCACTGGTGAGTAATTAAGCATTATCCAATTGAATGTATATGAAATTGAAGAAATTATTATAGGATTTAGAATTTTATTGATCTCAACCAATTACATGCCTTTGATTTTACCCGGGAATGAATTTTACCAACCCTCTCTACAAGGTTTTTACCATGCCGTTATTCGATTCAATAAAGTGTCCACGTTTTTAACGGTCCTGATTTACGCCAATCCATATCAGACACCACTAATAGGCTAATGCCGTAATACACAAAACTAAGAAAGCATTTTGTCTTTAGAGAGAGAGAGTGGAAGAGAAAGATCGAGCGAAAAATTGTCCCTTTTGTCATTCTCCCACGGATCGGACCGCCGAGTCAACACCGATCCACCCCCGCCGTGCAATGGAGGGTGTTGGGTCCCGACACAGCCGGTCCTCCACCCGATACGGACCGGCCACCGTGTTCACCGGTCCGGTCAGAAAGTGGAAGAAGAAATGGGTCCACGTATCACCATCATCCAATAATGCCTCGTCCCACCATCATCACTCTCAAACTACCAACGGTACAACTACTTCTAACGGTAATAACGGTTCTCATCTCTTGCTCTACAAGTGGACCCCCATTACCCAAAGCCAAAACACCAATAACACCAATGCCAATGGTGACAAGAACAACACCAAAAACGACGTCGTTGACGACCATAGTCCCTCCAGTACCACCGAAGAGCCGCCTCGGCGCAAATTCAAATATATCCCAGTATGTATCTATCCCCAGACCTCTCAATTTTTGTTACAATGTGTGTGTGTGTGTGTATATATATATATATATCTGTATTTGTAATAATGATGTGTCATACAAAATGTATTTGTATTTCTTGGTGGTTTTTGGATTCTTTGTGTGGGTATTGAATCAATTTTGATGGAAAAATGTTAAATGATTGACAATGACATAGGGTTTTTGCTTTTCTAATTGAAAATTTGGGACTTTGTGGTCCAGAAAGGTTTGACTTGCCGGAAAGAATTAGATCTTTTCTTTGAAGGCATTATGGTTGTGAATTGGGTGATAGATTAGTTTTATGTTTTTGGAGTTTTGTACATGTTTTTTTTTGGGTTTAGTTAGGTAAATACTCACACACACACCCACTATGGGGCTCAAACTCTTCACATCCCCTTTGAAAGAGGAGAGGTTATACCAGCTGGACTAATAACCGAGGGGTAATTCTTGACATTGTTGAAATTGATAAAGTTGTGAACTTTGTAAACCGTGTTAAAGGAATTTTAGAAATCTTGTTTGCCGTTGCAATGCATACATATTCAATACTTGAGGAGTAATATATTTTCACCACTACTCGTATCCAGTTCTATAGCTTTTTTATTGATGATGAATTCATCTGTTTGTAAAAACCATTTATTTTATACTCCTATTTGTCTAGTTGATTTCATAGCATTTTAAGTTACAAGTTTAGAAAGGTATAGGATTGATGGGTTACAGCTACAATGTGATGACACTGGTAGTGGTTCAACAATTTTTACTAAATTGGTTTGAGGTCTACACCTGGCCATGTTTTTGGTCACTCAGACTTATTAGTCAACAGTTTGGTGAAATGGTGGTGGTGTTATGTTTAATCTACATCAAGTAGTAAAGTTGCATAGGGAACAATTGGACCATATTTATATTTTACACGACCTCAATTACATTTTATGAATGGCGTGGGATTCTTTGACTCCAAAACCTAAAAGGATGAAGATTTGTGGTGAAGATATCTGAATTTAATGTTAATGTTAACATGGAAACAGTGATGTTTGGCTTGGTTAATGTGGCTATAATAATTGAGTATGAGTCTATGGAGCAGTCATTTTGTGCAGAGTAATAACAAATGTCGGATTTATCTCCATTCTCTCCCTTTCAGCACTTCTTCGTAGAATGGGATTAATACTGGATAATTACCTTTTCTATCTGTCTTAACATCCTTGGGAAACCTTAAATTTGTTATAGGTTTTGTCAAAAACAATACGGTATGTTTTTTTTTTTTTTTTTTTCCTAATTGGTACTCACACACACATGCCTCCACCGAGGCTCGAACCCTAACCTCCCTTTGGAAAGCAGGAGCCTGGTACCGTTAGGTCACTGGCCTGTTGGTCAATACGATATGCTTCTCCTCAACGAAGTGAAAGATTTCTATTGTCAACTCCATTTTGCAATCTGGATTTGTACAAATAGTGGCTTTTATCTTTTTGGATAATTGAAATTGAGATAGCTGAATAGTTGAATAATTGCGTTTTACAATTCATTGTTCTACATGCTTTAACAATTTAGTGGTATGAAAGTGAAAATTTGTTAGTATATTTTGTTGAGGGCGTCTTTGTTAATAGATGATCTTGTTGGATGATGGGAATTCAGATTGCTGTGCTGGAAGAACAGAAAAATGAAGATGCAGAGAATGCTGACGATGAAACTAAACCAAGTGATACTGAACCAAATGCAGTGGAGCCAACTTCGAAGAGCGATGGTTCTGATGAAAAACCTGACATAAATGATGTGCCCTTGGAAGAACACCAGGTGACTTAGTAACATATTTCTTATGCTTGTTTTTAACTTTGTCAATAGATTGAGTTCTTGGAGTCCTTTTTTCAAAGGAAAATGCTATTTTTTACTACTAACTTGTACAGAATGTCCGTGTGGATTGATGTGAATGGGCACCCTATTATGGTTAGTGAGATTATAGTGGTCAATTCGCTTTGTTTCTGAAAGTGAACTTTGGGTTGAATTGATATGGATTTTCTGTGGAGGTTAATTTGCTAAGCATGGTGCCATATTCTCTGTGTTTCTTTTCAAATGCGTTAACAGTAGACCCTCCCAGAATGCAATGAGGGACCAAAAATTGATGTTAATTTCTCATGACTTCCAAAATCCAATAAAACTTGACACCATTAACCTTTCTGCTTAAAATTGCATGGCTATTTGTTCAATCTCTAGTATACTTTTGATGCATCTCCTGCAAGCTTTATGTGATTTTTGTTATGTACTTCTAATTCAGGTTCCAAATGATAATCCATTAGTGAGACAAGATCTGAATGAAAGCACTTTGGATTTAAGTTTGGGCTTAGCCCATGATGGTGACCATGATGCTGACTTGAAAACAGATCAGACCAAAGACGGCTAGTTGGAAAGAGTTAATGCAGGTGGTGTTTGGGCATCAATGCTTTTTTTTTTTTCAATAATTTTTTTGACTTATTAGGAAATTAGAAAAATTGGCGATTAAAAAATGTAGTTCTTCCTCCGGGTTCCTGTGATGCCAAGATGAGTAAGCAAAATTTAAGAAGCTTATGCTTGTAACTGGTCTTTATTTGATGCTCGCTCTCCGAGCTGACTGCAATTTGTACTGATTCTATGTACTGAGAGATACAACGAATATTTTTTAACAATTGAATGAAGTGAATTTGTTTCCAGTTTTTATTGGGACACTTTTTTTCTTTTATTATGTTGGATAGATCAGAAGTACAGAGTGAATGGTTTAAGTAATATCATTTAGTTGTTCAATTTACTTTTGGCTGAATGAATTACCATTTAGTTGTTTTGAGTTCTTTTTGTGATGACATTTGCTTTGCATCATGTTTATTTTGCTTGACAATTCTCACCTGCTTGTTGATCATTTCCTAGGGTTTCGTGTTCCATGTCTTCTGTTATTAACAGTATAGTTTTCCTCAATGTGCCCTGTTTTAATTGCTTATTGTCATGCTATTTTGTGGTTTCATTTTTCTGGCTTTTTCTTTCTTTTTTCTTTGTTCATTTACATTTATGCCGAACATGGTTTTGTCATGTATAGTTCTCCTTTTGGAAATGGAAATATGTTGGTTTTAAGAAGTGCATTCAGGTGAGCCCGGTAGAGATGCACAATTCTCTGTTTTTGCTAAGTAATATAAAACAGAATAAAGTTAAATTTCAACGGATGGTACCAATTCATTTTGACATAATGGTGAAGGCCAGCATGATGGAGGGATTGATGTGTGGTTTAACTAACATAATCTAAAAAAATATTATATTTACTTTCAAATAATTTTTCTGAAAAATATTTGGATATGTTGGTTTGGTTTTCTTCCTTTTCTGTACTTTTATTTCTTCGTATGTATAAATGTGAGAAAAGGCTGAATGTGGCTGTGGGAAGTGTTATTGAAACATTATCATTATCTGTAGTTTCTGCTGTATGGAAGTGGACCTAAATTAAATATTGTTAAGAGAAAACAAATTACTATTAAGGTTTGTTTGTACCCGAAAAATTATCTAACTAATTTGATTTCAAATCGAATATTTCTTTTATTTTTCACTATAGTGGCATCATTAGTTATAACATATGTAAAATATAGTGTGCATATGCCTTAACGAGATACTGAGTCTTTGTCTCAAGTGCAAGGACCCTTAAGGAAATTGTGAATGTGTGTATGAGTAACCATTAGTCTAAGATGGACCAGCAGTTGGAAGAAATTTTAGGAGAGCTATGGTGACCTCGGAATCCCTTGGTTCTCTCCATTATTGGCACTCTCTCTCTCTTGAGATTTCCTCAATTTATACTCTGCCTTAATCCATTGGGACCTATACACATTATGTGTAATACCTTTATCAGATACGAGAGTGGGTGAAATGGTGTGTGGCTTCACTGGATTGTTTGAGCAACAACATTGTGATCTAGTCCATTCTGGTCTTCTATTTTGACTTCCGACTTGGATTTTGAGTCTGGTTTTGATTCTCCTACTGCTAGTTAAATCGGTCGTTAATCATGTTGAAGTTTATATGTTGTATTCATGAAATAGGACATCCAAGTGACATTGCGGAAAGAAAATAACAGTACATGCAAGTATCATCCATTTGAAAGTGTGATTACATTTCAAAAACATCTAACTAGATTTGTTGCAAGAAATTTGAATGTGTCCTTGAACAGTTGGATGGGATGCAACAAACCATTGACGAATGTCATGATGCAGCTTGAAGTCCCTCTCTGAGCACATTTGTAAGAAAACTTGCTCAAGATTATTGCCTTTCTTTGCTGATCAGAGTTCCCTTGGGTATCTTCTTTTCTAGAAATTTATTGTATTGTAGTTTTCATATCTATCTGTTCGTACTTATGCATGACGGTTTATCTCATCTATTATCTCCTAAAGCAAATTATGTAACAACATTTTTCATGAATATTTCTAGTAGCCACTGGCGTTTTGTCATCGCGCCAAATTCCTTGTACAATTCACTGAAAGTCTGTTGAGATGCATATTCTTCATGTTCTTGCCAAGCATGTCCAAGGCATATGGTGGACTGCACTGAAAAATTGAATATTTATCACCAGATCTCTGTTTTACTTTAATAATTGTTTTGTCTTCATTGTGCATAGTCTAGTACAATGGAAAATTTCTAGGGCTCCAATATTTAAAGAATATATATATATTTTGTCTTTTCAAAAAGTCACTGATAGCATCTTAAATGGCAATTGACTACTCGAGTATCTCTTGCTGCAAATGGAGAGCATCGGGCTGTTGTTTCTGTTCTGACTTGTGTGGAAAGGAATGGTTGTGGATCTTCTTTGAGTATTATCGGTGTTACTTTTTCTTTTTGGTCTTGCTGTTAGTCTATCTGATTGCTCTCTTTTGTTGCTGGAAAATATTGGAAAAGATTTAAAGGAAATTCGAACCTAAAAGCAAAATATTCCATTCTGTAATATAATATTTAGAGTACATAGCATTTCACATGAACCATATGGTGTCCAGTTATGTTAATAACTTTTAGTAAAAGCTAACACAGACTTTTTTACTTATGACTTTACTATTTTTGAAGTGTCTTATGCAAGTCACAGTTTGCTAGCTTAATTGCTATATACTAGGACCATGTAAGCCTCTCTTATGAGTTATGATATGCTTGGAACTTATTTGAAATACAGAGGTTTGTCATATAAATTGCAGGGGTGTGTCACTGTCTGCTAACGTGTTTAACCATTTTTTCCCCCCATACAAGCCATTTTAATGATCGTTTTCTAATTTTTTTTTGGTGAGATGGATCCTTCTATACTCATGCATACGAGTGTAGATCCGGATTCTCTCTGCACAGGAGCGGATCCTCTTCCTATGAGCGCATCAATACTCATGAATGTTTAGATGGATTTATCGTTGCATAAAAGCGATGTTATTTAAGATGGATTGGCTTCATCATGAGAGGCCATAGAAGCATATTTATTTAATTTTTTAGTTTTGGATTGAAAATGAGGAATTTGTAGCATTGAGCTCAAGGGTTTTAGCATGTTCAAGGGTTTCTCAGAAATTGAAGCTCATCAAGGCTGATAATATCCCTACAGTGTGGAACAGGTGGGAATGCCCAGCCATATAATTCGCTTCTAATGTCTTTGCGATTACTAGGATATCCTTCATTCTATTAAAACGCCTTCGTAACCCAAGCAGTAGGGTTGCTCCCCGTCGTTCTTTGGATCCCGAGCCTTCGCACTCCCCCTCACCACTAACCCCAAAAACATTCTTGCCATGGAAAAAAAGGAAAGTTAAGCAGGGGATGCCTGTCTACATTCCTTTAGTCGGACAATTGGCTTCCTAGTGATGGTACCATTGGTCAAGCCATGGCCCATAGGGGAGAGCTATTGCATGACTCAATTATTAAAGAATGCCATACATTATAGTAGTATATATTAAAAAGGAAAAGTTTTGTATCTTATATCCGATTTGAGAGTTTGTGTTCCATTGCCAGAAAGTATTCATACAAAGTACAACATTACATATATATATATATATATGAAAGTATTCATACAAAGTACAACATTATATATATATATATGAAAGTATTCATACAAAGTACAACATTATATATATACACACAAATATACATACACTACTATAATGTATGGCATTCTATTGATTTTTTTGAATACTATTATCGTAGTATCATTATTTGTGTTGATTTTGTTTTTAGTGGATAATTTCTGGTACAGAAGAATTTATGAGTCCATCTCACGTCAGTGACTCAAATAATTCAAATTGAATAGTAAATGGTTTAGTGTTTACATACTTTTATATATATATATATATATAGTCGATATAATATATAAATTTGGTGTCATTTTGTGGGGACCGCTTCACATTATTTATTTTATATCTACGGTATCAGTTTATATTAACTAGGACAATCGTCAATATCTGACATTTGAAACTTGCTATACCTTTTTTTTTTTTTTTTTTTTTATTTTGTTTTAAATAATTTTTGTTAGGTGTTAGGAGCAAATTGCGATACTTGAGCCATCGTCGTGATTGTGGGTGACAGAATAACCTAACCTTAGGGTTTCTTTGTTCTTAATGAAGGTACCTCTTTATGCATGGACCATAATATTTTGTACGGTTGGAATTAGCCTGACCTAATTTATTAAGGGATGCAAACTCTTTCACTTGAAATTTTGGTTTAAAAATAATTATTTCTATGTGTGTGTGTATATATAATATATATGTTGTCAAGAAACTTATACACTGCTACCTTTGATTATATATTTATAAATAATAATAGTATTATATATACATGACAATGCAATTGAGTAGGAGCTCTCACTTTGAAGACTCTTTTCCAATTGGATTTAATGGAGAGTACTTTATAAAATAATTATGATTAGAGTGCTGCTTTTTTTTTTTTTTTTTTTAAAGAAGATAAAACAACTTGAGTGCAATTGTTTACAAATGAGTGCGAATCATTTTGTCTTTTATAATATAAATAAATAAGCTTAAAAAGAAACAAAGCTTAGATGTTTGGATAATATATTGAAAATAAAATAAAATAATTTAAGTAAAGCGAAGAGAATGAAACGAGAGAATTAAAAGAACAAAATTGAGTAAGGGAAATGCTAACCCTGCACTCCATTTATATATATTTTAAATTACACTTTTATTTAAAAATTAATAGATAAATTAGGGTGACCTTCAGTGAGAATTGGACAAATTATACACAAGTGCTTTTGCCCATGTGCTCAACACTAGCCCCTAGTGTTTCCTTCTCAGCATACCCATTGACCGAATTTTACAAAATAATTTTTTTAACCCTTTTCTTCTATGAAAATCTTGCATTTCTCGTGAATGAAAATTAAGGCATTATTTACTTTTTATACTCAAAATCACCTTTCAAAAATTGATCAACATCTATAATTTGTCCAAACCTAAAACAGAATCAGTGTAAAGTTGAAATTTTAGAATAATCACATTATATTTTATTGGACTTGGATCATTTAAGTTAAATTTTCTCTAAGTTATCCTAAATTGAATTCGTTATAGATTGACATATAACATTTAAAATCTATCTACTACTTGTGTTAAACATCTCTCTCTCCCTCATCTTTTCCATTCTCACGTTGAAAGAATATTTGACACTAAAAAAGAATGTTCTTTCCCCCAATTTTTGGGGTCTAGAAGCTCTGGTTCACTCTCTTTTATACTAGATTCCTGATGTTTAAATTTAATTTCAAAAAACATGAAATTATTATTGCCTACAATTGTTATTTATTCTCTTGTTGAATATAGCTCATTACCTTTCAAGGAATTGAATCACTTGAGAAAAAAAATATACTGCCTATGTCCCTAAATAGAAGTCCATGTTTAGAAATTGGAATTTTTAAGGGGACATGCAATTAATGCATTGTCCTATTTTAAAATTACTAAATTATTCTTTTTAATTTAAATATATATAGTTACAAAGTTTGAAATTTTTTAAAAACATAAATGACAATGATGGAAATATAATAAAAAGATGCTTTGACTTTTCAAAGAGGACAACTAATTTCGGACATGTAAAAAGAAAAAAATAGACTACTCATTAGAGACGGAGGGAGTATATATTATAGTTGGGTGGACTAAATCATGCAGAGAATGATATATAGTTGCTTTGGTTAAATTTTGATTCTAGAATGAAGATTTTATTCATTATCGGTGGGAAATATTCCCCAATAGTGAGAATGAGCAAGAAGAGAAAGAGGGAGTGATCTTTTTACAAGGGAGAGAGAATGAGAGAATGACGTTAACGTCGTTATAGTATAGTGAATTTTTTATATTTTAAAATGGTATAATTTTCAAATTTTGTTAAAATTTTTTAACTAAAAACAATGCAGTTTTTAAATTTTCCTTACAAAGTTGAGGTGACACTGACAATAGTGTCAATATGAAATAAATTTAACTTAGAATAATTAGATGAGATTTAACTTAGATCACCTCCATTTTGAGAAGTCATTGGTGTCCCAATCATCACCTTCTCCGTGAATTCTTTCTTCCTTTTTCCGCTCGAATTCTCTTGACCCAAACTAGGCGTAAACACTCTATTCTTTTTCTTTCTTTTACGATATGAACAAAATTAACCTTCCAAAAAAAAATTTATGGACAAAATTATTAAAAAAAAAAAAAAAAAAAAAAATTCTTCTATCGTATAACTTTATTTTCTTCTCAATTTTTTTAACGGACACCAATTTTACTTGAAAAAAAAAAAGGAAAAGAAAGAAAGAACCGCGTCGCACTCGAATACTCCCCTGGTATACAGTCCCAAAATGTACGTCACTACCTTTCACTCTCTCTCTCCAGAATAAAACCTCAGCAACCTTTCAAAGTCCAAACCTCTCTCTCTCCTCCTCTCCTCTTTCTCTCTCTGTAATCTGATCAGAAATGAAGAAGCTATACCACAAAGGCGCTGTCCACCCATCACCGCCACTCATCTCCGATCACTTAGCTTTTTTGCCGGCGACGATCTTGACCCTCACGGCGGTGCTCTCCCCGGAAGACAGAGAAGTCCTCGCTTACCTTATCTCTTGCTCCTCCAGCAACTTTTCCGGCAATCAGAAGAATACCCAGAAGACTACCGCTACCGGCGGTGGAAGAGGCGGTGGCGGTGACCACCCACCTTCGTTCAACTGCAGCTGTTTCAGGTGTTACACGAGTTACTGGGTCAGGTGGGACTCGTCGCCGAATCGGCAGGTCATACACGAAATAATCGACGCGTTCGAAGATGGGTTGGTTCAGGGGAAGAAGGAGAGAAACAGGAGAGAGAGAAGGAAGAGAGGTTGTAATGGGCCGGACGAGTTGAAGCGGTCTGAGTTGATGAGTTCGGGTAAGGGCAAGTTTACTGAGTCGGAATCGGTGGACAAGGGTGGTGGTGGCGGTGGTGGAGGAGAAGGTTGTGGTGATGATGAGGGAGAGGAAGGTTTTGAGAAAGGGTCAGTGAGGAAGTTTGTTAGTTTCATTGGAGAGAGGATTTGGAGTGTTTGGACCTGATGATTTTGAGGGAAAATATGAAGGAAAAAAAAGAGAAGAAAAGAAAAGAAAAAAGAAAAAAAAGGTGGGTTCTACTTCTCTGTTAAAATTAAGCCTTACAGTTTCTTTAATTTTGGTATTGATCTTTTTCTTTTTCTTGGGAGCTGTATATTACTTAACCCTTTTCTTACAATGAGAAAAAATGGTTAGCTTTGGATGATCTTCCCATGAATTAGTTATCTTCTTAGCATTTGAAACAGCTTTTGTATATATATATATATACACATATATATGTATATCTGTATATGGAATGGAAGAGATTATGGGTTTTTCAGTATAATGATGGGAGTGATATTATCTGTTTAAGAAAATAAATAATTAATGTAAAGTTGCACGAAATTGGTGAAATCTGGTAACATTTAGTTCAAAATTGTTTGATTTAATTTTTTTTTATTTTATAATTTACTTATTTTTTTGGGAACCATCAGCTTCATGTTTACTTTTGTGTTTTAGTTGAATTAGTTTGTGTTCTAGTTGAATAATTACAGTTAATTTATTTTTTGTTTTTTGGATTACGGATGAATTCAGTTACTGAATATGTGAAATGTTGTATATTATGAGGTTTTAAATACCGCATCAGTGAATTTTAACTTCACATGAATCTCTAGAATTTAAAAACATTTTATATCAATTTTATTTTCGAATCTTAATTTCCAATTTTAGAAAACACTTTGTGTAGATTTATATGAAGTCAAACACTTCTCTTAGAGGGAAATTTAAAACAAAAGTAACTTTTGCATTAGTTTGAGAAGAAATTTTATTTTTTATCAAACTCGAATATGCATTTTTCACTTACTATTTACTTTGTACCATAAGCTCTTTATGTTGAGAACTTTTTTAAGTCCAGTCTATTTCCAGGTTGGTCTCAATTATTGGATGCGAGTTATACGTTATCTCACAATTTCTATATCTAGCGAGTGATTGCATGAACTGATTGAAACTCTTTTGATTCGAGGCTAGTGCTATTATTGTGAAAATGACATTATTTTTTAAAAATAAATTAAAATCAAGAGTGATATGATGGGAAGATAAAATGACATTATTTTTTAAAAATAAATTAAAATCAAGAGTGATATGATGGGAAGATATTTTTATAAAAGATCTCGTGCACACTTATTTCGAGCACGTAACACTTATTTTGAGAATGCAATATAATAGTTATGTTGAGTCTGCAATACAAATACTCAAGAAAGTAATGTTATCATTTCGCTCTTTAATTAATTGTGTTGCACATCTTAATACATTTTCAATATAAGTGTGTGCATCACAATACAACACGTTTATCGTTTTAGTAGAGGATTTGGACTTACACATACATGCACAAATGTAAAATATATCATGTTGGGTTTAATTTTCTTAGAATTTTTTTTTTTGTTTTGTGAGAGCTAAAAATCAAAATTCTATATAAAAATAAAAGGCATGTTTAGTTTGTAAATTTAAAAACAATGTTCAAAATTTCTAAAATAAAAAATTATTTTCAGACTTTTGGAAATAAGTCTTTTTATATTAGAAATTTTAAAAATAATTATTAAAAAATTAAACAAGCACAGTTTTATACAATTTTTTTAATTAAATTTTTTTTTTTTTTTTTTAAAAGTGGTTATATATATATATATATATATATATGTTTCATGTCACTTGAAATTAATTAATATTTTTATTTAATGTAGGGGTGTAGTAGCTTGTCCAACTTTTGTCATATTGCCGGGGATTGGTGAGACATGAATGTACGGTAAATGCAACTAGTGAACTGGGATTTATGAAGAAAGAAAAGAATGGGTATATTGGTAAATTACAATGGGTGGGTATTGTTGGAGATAACGAGGGCGGCAAAAGTAAGCTTCGATTAAAGCAAAGGAGCCGAAAGACCCCACTAATGACTCCCCAGTCCACTTGTATCTTCGTTGTCTCGCACACTCTTTTTTGTTCTTCCTGTTTTTTGTCCAACTCTTTGTTTGGACGATTTTACCCTTTCCTAACACACCCAACATCTATACTTATTTCGGTCATCAAAGCTTCTCGTTTTTGGTTGAGGGAAAGAAGAAGGGTGTGGGATGGAAGATAGGAGTCTGAATTCTTTTATGTAATTTTTTTTTAGCATAATTTAATTTTTTTTAGCACATTAAATTTGGTTGAAAGTAATTAGATTTAATATTTCAAGAACAAATTTAATTATTTTGAGCTCATCTATGCACGATAGAATTCAAATTCGATAAAATAACCTTTCATTATTAGATAAAAGAAATAGGAAGAGTGAAGCGTTGAACCAATTGGAAGGTCCACAACTTAAATTCCATTCTTAAGTGAAATGGGTATGGGTTAAGCCGAGCCTACCATTATATTCGATTAATGAAAAACTGACAAATCAGGTTATGGAGAGTATTTTTTATTAGATGATATGACCAATTTAATTGCATGGTGAATATTCAGTTGACAGCATATCAATGATATTGCATGCCCGGTTTATCTAATATCCTCTTTGAGAAGGTGAAATAATTATATATATTAGATAAAATAAAAAATACAAAAACTTTGTCACTCTTATTAGGTGTATTAATTTAAATAATTAAGAGTTGAGTGATAAAATGACAATAGAAATTTGTTGGAGCACGTCAAAACAACTAGTCATGAATAGACTTCTCATCTTTATGATGCAGTGTCACTTTGTTATAAAAAGTTTAGACATTTTAGTTAGTATGGTGAGATGAAGATTAATTAATTAATTAATTAAGTTGGTTAACTTAAAACTCAGAATTATTATTTAAAAATTGCGACACATGAGACATGCAACACCTCTTTGTTCAGTGATGGTGGGTGTTTGGGTAATTTAGTCAAATAAAGAACATGTATCTTTTTTATTATTATTATTATTATTATTTTTAATTTCTTCCTTGTCTTTATCCCTTTGGCTTTAATATAATACTCATCAATTTTAGCAACAATATCATAAAGTAATAGTAAATAATTTAAGTTGGGTATCTTAGCATGCGCATTTGCTTACTTTATGCTGGGCTAGTGAAAATACAAATAGGAGACAAAAGGCTCAAGTCTCCGTAACCCTCCTTGTATGAATAAAAATAATCATGCATGCCCATCTACCATTGAAGAAGGTATTGGGTGCCCCGCGTATCGTGTACGTGTGTATTTTACATATTTGGCACATTCAATATTTATTTTTACCATTTACACTATAAAGGTATCCATATGAAATTAGAGGGTTAAAAAAAAAAAAAAAAAAAAACCATCCATACGCACATCACCATACACTTGAAAAAGGTATTGGGTGTTTGACGTATCGTGCATTGGCTCATTCGAGTTATATATATATGTATTCTACATACTCAGGCACCATGACTCAGCACACCCAATATCTATTCATACCATTTACACCATAAAGACATCTTTATCAAACTAAGAAAAATTAAGGCATCCATACGTACATCACCAAACACTTGTTGTTTCGGCACTTCTTATTTTATCAAGAGTAATTATGATATTGTACTTGGAATCACCAAATCAATTTAAATTTAAAATTAAAACAAATTTAGTTTAAACTTTGAACTAAATTTTTCAAAAAGTTAATTCATTACTTCTAAACATAACACTTAAAATGAAAAAGAAAGAAAAAATAATTCACCTTATATTTTATTATAAAAAAATATTCACATCTGATTTGGGCTAAGTATCACTATTTTTACTTTTTGTTGTATTTTTATATAAAAGTAATATTTATTTATTTATACAACGTGAATACAACCTTCCAGGAAACATGTTGGTGCAGTAGAACCCTCTTTTATTAATTTTTAATCAAATACTAAATTGATGTAGAGATAAATATTAAGAGAGTATCTATGCTTTTGACCACCATCCTGAGTTGAAAGTTTGATGGGATTCTTATATATATATGTATATAGTAATATACTCAATTTAGTATGGGTATGCAATAATGCACATGTATAGGAATGCTTAGGTTTTTTTTATTTTTATTTTTTTATAGTACGTGTGTCGAGTTCACAATATACGCATCATTTAAGTCAGAATTGAGGTTTGAAAATGAGACCCTGAGGTTTGAAAATGAGACCTTAAGGGTTTACTTTCTAAATCTCTGTCAACATCGCTACGTCACTGAAGACGTAATGCTTAGATTAATTGTGTAGTCTAAATTTGGGATCTTGTATTATTATTATTACATACTTATAAGGTATGATAGATATGCACATGTTTCCTCGAATGTATGTTTTCATATGAATTCTGTACTTAAAACTATGTGAGAGGAGAATCATGGAAAGCATGGTTAAAATGACTACTACAATTTTAGCAATATATATCCTTGTCAGAGTCTATGAGTAGAGAGAAGAAGAATCTTCTTTCTAAATGGTTTAATATCATTAAATTGAGCTACTTTTTTCTGTTTTGTCAAAAGGGGTTGTACCATTAAATTTAGCTTCTTTTTGGATCTTTAATGTATTAAGTAACTTATTGGGTCACATGGAATAATGAACCTACATCATTACATGGTATGAATTCAAGAGATAATGGTGGGGGAGTCTTCATGATAAATTCTTGTGGACGGGTCAAATTTGTGATTTTTAGTTTATTTAATCAAAAGAATAAACCAATTAAATAATGCGACAAAAAATAACCAATTCCCGCCTGAAGAATTTCTATGGGGTAAAAATTCATTACATAGCCCTGGTCAATCACTATTTAATATTTAAATTAGGTTTATTATTATTATTTTTTTTTGGAGAACTCGAATCTCCTCGTGTAGGAGGTTTGTATGCTCATCTTGTGTTCAAAAAAGTTATTTAACACATTACATCAAAAATACAATATATTACACCTTATAGCAACGCTATAACATTATTAAATCGAAAATTCAACACATTTACATGATTATTGTATTGTCGATTTAGAATTGTTGAATTTAAGATGTAAAGTTGTTACATTAGACACATGACAGGTACATGACAAAAATGACATAGAAAAGGATCTTTATGTTGCATCTGGCTTAGGCTTACACCCAAGTCTTCAATTACAATAAAAATTAATATAATTGGTGACATACATTTAGCCTTCGTTTGTTTCGATGTAAAATATTATTTTTAGAAAATATTTTTCTTTTTCAGGTAAAATATTCTTTTATTTTTACCTTGATAGTGTTTAACAAAGGTCTACGTTGAGGTTGAGGTTAAGTTTATCGGGCGGACATTTAAAATAACTTGCCGAAAATTAATGAATAAGTTATTTTTGTTAAATTTTAATTTTTTTTTTCTTCGTAAATATTTTACGACAACCAAATATCAGAAAATAAAAAAAATATTTTTGAAAAATATTTTACATCCAAACAAACGGAGCTTTAATTACAATTAATTTAATTAATATGCATTTATTGGATATATATATATATATAGCTTAAAGTCAAAAAAATTGAATTTGACTCTGCTCAACATAACTTTAAGAATGGGCAGGAATGAGTCAACACTATAGTGTTAATACATGCCACACCCAAATGAAGACAAGGCTAGTCCACAACTAGACTGTATAAATGAATTACTAGTCGTATTATTCAGATTATGATTGAAACCTTCCCAAAATCAACCAGGGCTTATTTGACCCGTTAAAACTACTTATCAAAGTACAATTTCTTAATTTAACAATAATTCTGTATGTGTGTGCACATGTATTTTTTCAAGTTCGATACGTGACTCGTATCGATCAGTTTACATTGACTTTATCTAAGTCCGTTATCTCGCAACCGCGACCTTAACCGATACTGCGAATCATGAATTATATATATATATATATATATATATAACACCACCTATTGATTAGCCCACTCTTATGCTTATTCTTTTACAAAAAGACTAATGATACTTCGATTCGATAAAATTGAAAATGTATGATCAATGAGCATTGATGGCATGATCTCTCTTTTTTAAAATGGAAGTTGAGTCTTCGAGCACTGCTACGATTAATATTATATATTTGTGTGTACTATTTGTAATATTCAAATTTTCATAAATTACTTTGTAGTATTTACATCAGGATGTGGTTCTGAATTGGGTTTTCTAAATTTTTTCGAAGAAATTATGTATTATGTTTCTCATGCCTAAAATTATATATATAATTTGAAAATGGTCACACAGACCAATGATAATTTAATAATTTAGAGTATATCTGGGAATGTTTAAGGTGAAAAAATTGGAAACTGACTAGGCCAAACAAACCTTTATGAACGAGTCAACTATAGTGGGGGGTTACCCAAGTAAACTGCAAATGACTTGGGCTTTTGTTGCATAGTAGGGTCCATATCAGAGAGTGATTTTTTGTGGCTTGTTTGACCCGCCAATACGACTTTTCACTGATCTCAAGTACAAATTTCTTGATTTAATTATCGAAAAAGATGGTACAAATTCTTGATTTATGACCAAAGCTCATGTTGACCAGATCAATGCACTTCTTGTGCACATCGTTTCCAAGAAATATTTGGTGATCTTTGTAATCCATGAGAGAAGATAACGCAAATAGTAGATTAATTTAATTTGACTTTATTTAAAGTAGGTCGCTTATAAGGTTGAATTTTTGTCTGATTATTCAAAAATTTAAATTATTAAATAGTATTACATACTCACCCATATATTTGATGTGATCCCTTGGGACATCTTTGACAAGGTTCGAGTGTGGAGGAGAGGATCTAATCCAAAATTTGCAATCCCCTTTTAAACTTGGCCATAAAATTCCTTTGCCAATTAATTATTAAGTGGGAGATTATTCTCATTTTATCAGAATAAAATGAGCCCATTTGAACAGTACCATACACTTTCCTTCCATTAATAGATGCTGTTGAAGTTTTGGATTTTACTGGGCTAGAGTAGCTAAGATTGAAATTACACTCATCAGACAATAAAGAGTTATGGCCTTCATGTTTGTTGGCTCTTTTATTTCAGATTCCACAAATCACAAGACTTTATGTTTGTCCATTGTTACCCTATAATTCAAGGACATGTCCCATCTGTTTCCATACAACCTTTTTTCTTTTATTTATTTATTTTTTAAAATTTTAATTTTTATGAGTAGGCAATCATTGCTCACACACCACACCATCTCATGTGGGACTAAAATCCTTCTGGGCTACATCACAAATATTTTAATATTTTAGTAACGTATTTCGCAACCGGACCACTGTTCTGCGGGAGAGGATTTTAATCTATCTCATATGGCGGTTGAACATTATAAATATTAAATATCATTATGATAAAATTTGAGCGTACTATGATAAAATATCACAGTATGAGTAGGTAATCACCGCCCACACACCTCACCATACAACATTTTTTCTTTTATTATTATTATTTTTTTTTAAATTTTAATTTTTATGAGTAGGTAATCATCGCCCACACCCCACGCCATCTCATGTGGGACTAAAATCCTCCAACGCTACATGACAATATTTCGTACTTCAGAACAAAACCACTATTCCACAGGAGAGGATTTTAATCCGTCTCATATGGGGTTGAACATTATAAATATTACATATCATTCTGATAAAATTTGAGCATACTATGATAAAACATCATTTATTACATCAATATACAATGTAAAAAACCCAAGGTTGCTTACAGCATACCAGCAAGTCTCACCTGTTGTTCAACAGCTCTTAACAAGTGATCAAATTCAGTCACATAAACACAAAAGTTGGAACAAACAATTTACTCTTCACAATTTTTATTTAACATTCATCATAGTTTTAACTGAAAATAAATATCGTTATGATCAGCTGATTCATACTAGATGCTTGAAATGCCACCAGCAGATCATCGACAAGCCTTACAATTTCCAAATATGCTAACGTTAGATAATGTAAAAGAACATTAAATATATACAAATTATAATTGACTATCTACCCACATGGTGACCTGAAGGACTGAAGACAGTGGTGATATCCATCAGAAGGAGTCAGGCATGTACAGGTATAGGTGAGTTCATGGATACACAGCCTTTCAAGCGGTCAAGGATGATATTTCGGCTGACCAGCCTCGAATGGGAAGTAAGTGGAAGGCCCTCCTTGACACACTCATCATACTTTTCCAAAGCAGAAACAATGCAGCTGAAATCCGGTCGCTTAGAGGGGTTTACTGCCCAGCAGTGCTTTATGAGGTGTGCAAGCGCGGGTTGACAACTGGCCGGCAGCGGTGGTCGTTCGTTCTGTCAAATGATCAAATAAAAGGGAAGTAAGCACACAGACTTTTTCCAAGTTTCAGAACTAACAGAATGCTTTATAAAGTCTGAAGTACAGAAAATGGATGATCAGCAATGCGAAAATGGTCAATTCTATACAAAGGAATGATCCATGATACAAGCTAAATATATCTTTCTCATATGTGATCAAGCTCAGGTGAATGTTTCATGTATTTCTACATAATTTTAGCTCATATCTTGATCGCCATCTTGCGATGCTGTGATGCTACAAAGGGTCTGTATATTATCATCAAAACACTATTCTGTTTCATATTTGGTAAAACCATTGTTTTGTGACTAACCACGGTTGTCTTGACCTGATGTATGCAGTGCCACTACAAAGTGCATAATCATCGAATCTATATTACCCATAAGGAAGGGAAGAAAGGGGACCGGGAGAATTTTAAAATTGAGTTCTGAGTTGCATGAAAACCGGAACCTTTTTGCTCTATAATGTGGTTAATCAAATAAGCATCACTTCTGTTATAAAAGGCGCTGTAACAGGTGCACTTGGCTAAAAATTAAAAAACCTTGGTCTGCTTCTTATGAGTGTGCACTGTGCACGTCGTGTGGTGCTTGGAATTTTGTGGAAGGGAATTGTAGGGTGGGTTCCTCCGCTTTTGCTCAATTATACCGTCTATCAGCCTGAAGGTCGTGCTCCTGAATAATGGTTTGGCGTGCCAAGGAACAATATGTAATGTAGATTCCTGAGCAGGAACTTTTCATGGCCAAGTACCAAGAAACCAACTTAACAATGTGGTATTAGTTATCAATATGATCCTTCCTACACTTCTGAGTATGATGTGGTATTGGAATTTCTACTCTGTCGTCCTCAACATGGAAAATTTAAGTTTCTCAGAAGGCAAGATCTTAGTATCTATATTAATTCATGTACTAAAACAGAGTTCTTAGTTTGTCTTGCTTCCAACTACACCCTATAGCAATTCAGATAATACATATGAATGTCTGGAGCAACTTACTCTGTTCCCTTTCAATGGAACTCAAGACAAATTCATGTTTGTAGCGCTATACAAGCCCAAGTTTCCTTAACATCCATTTACTTAAATTTACTCCACGATGAGACACACTAAAATTTCTGTTCCAGAATATATATATATATATATATATATATATATAAGTAATTATTTTGCACTCTGTGTGTTCCACCTCATCTGTGTATTTCCCTTTGTTATTTTGGCATCTCCGTGTAGCTACATTGCTCCAGGCTCCAGCATGTCTGACAGCTATTTTAAGTTGTCCTCTGTACTTATGGGACTCCAATGGCCACAACGGTTTTCCCTGCCTCATCCAATAATAATCAAAACTTGGAGGAAATTGGGAAAAGCAGTGACATCGGGGGTTCTGAAATTTCTCTGATCTCCATTACGAACAGTATCTCTCTCTCCCACTATTGTCTCATTTTTTAACCAACTTGGACATCTTGGGGCTTCCATTATCCTATCCTACACATGATACCTCTTTCTTTCTAATTTGACTTGGATAAAAAGAACCAACCCCTTCTAACTTTTTCTTGAACCCAAATATGTAATCAGATATTTGGAGCTTTATCATATAGATGCATAGATACCAAAGATTTATATGACTTCGGTTTCTCAAGAAGAGGGCATAGGAATAACCTAAAATTTTGTCTTGTTTTCTTTTGATCAAACAACCATCTGGTTAGTTCAATTATTCTAGAATCAGCTCAACTAAACATTATGTAGTTAATTAAACTTGAGACAATCTTGCTTTTCCACTTGGCCTTCCCGAGGCCAATGGATGATTTAGCGTATTGTTCACTTTAGATTATGTTGCACCACTCTGCCGTTGGCTATGAATCTATGATTGATTAATGGAGAGGCTTAGAAATTCAAGTTATAAGAAATCTAGAAGGAGCAAAAAAAATAAAAAGAGAGTTGTTAAAAAAACTGTCCAAGGTATAAATTACTCCAAAGAGCAGAGAGAAACACATATCAAAATTTCAGATAAGCAAATAAAATTCAAAATTTTTTTTCCCATTTCTTTCTGATAATTAGAATTTATATACGTTCCCATCAAAAGGAAGAGTTTGCATCTTAACAAAGTATTACCTTCTCAGACACCGCAAATGCAGCCTGCACAGGAGTCATTCCCTGAAAGGGTAGCAGAGCTGTTGTGAGCTCCCATAGCACAATTCCAAAACTATACACATCAACTTTCCGAGTATAAGGTTTCCCCTTGATCATCTCTGGTGCCATCCAACGATAAGTTCCCGTGTTTCCTTTAGATTCTCGGCATTGTGTTTCTAGACAGGATGTACCAAAATCTGCCACCTTAACCCGCATGTCATCATTTAGAAGCAAGTTATTTGATTTGAGATCCCTGTGGATCACCCCTTGTGAATGAAGATACTCCATTCCCCGTGATATATCAAGGGCTAGCCTTAGAATTGTTTCTGTGGAAAGTGAGTATGGCTCTTTCTTGTTGAGATACATTCTTAGAGTTCCTTGTGACATGTATTCTGTAATGATGCAGTACACAGGAGGCTTTTTGCAAGCTGCAATGAACTGTAGATAAAAAAGGGATTATCACAAACTCAACCACATAAGGTACTGATATTCAAAAATTGTTCATTATACTATAGAAATTGTGAAATATGGACACCTTCAATGTCAAATGACATGTCAAGGTATTCTCTAATCAAAATAACATACAAGCCCACTAGCAATTAATCTCAAGAAGTATACATACGCAATGAGAAAAAGGTATTACAGATTCATAGAAATGTCTGATAATAAACTGAAAATGCTGAATCTAGTGTCCCCTGTATCAATCAGGCTAAAAGAAATACAGTAGAAGACAGATGTTGATTTTAAAATTTATAAATATAAAAGAACTGGATAAAATGAATAAGAATGTCCTGTGCAAAATGAGTGAGTGTCGAACAAACAAGTTAAAAAATAAAGTATCAAACAAACTGAAATCCCAAAAACCTTGTATTAACATACAATTCTGTTGATTGCTAGAAAGATGGAGGAACACTATAAAATAAATAATCTTACAACAATGTTAAAAAATCATAGTTATTGTTGTAAAATTCCAAATTTTCTTCTGTGTTTTTTCCTGAAGGGGTCACCGACTCACCAATTGAGGACAAGATGAGGAAAATTCATTTAACACGGTATGTTCATGTGCAACTAAGATTAATAAAATGCATCCTTGAATGGAGTTTCTGAGTTGCACATGAACATACCATAACAGAAAACGCAATAAGAATTAATTTTAGCTCAAATCTCGATTGCCATCTTATATGCCAGAATTGACAATATTATAGATTAATGAAGTACATGGCCCTGTAATAGAAAACGCAATAAGACTACTATTGGAATAATAGACTAGAAGAACACTTTCATCATTTTGAGAGACAAATTTTTCTACATTTTTTCCATCTCTTAGGAGATAACATTTAATCCGAAAGACTGAAATATTTCAAATTACAATTTATAAAGAATCATGTTTGTGTTAGGTCTAGGATAAGCATGATTCAGAGTAAGATATGTTGTGTAACTTCCTATGCCCAAAATATTTAGCTAGACCACGGGTCCACAACTGTGACACAAATGTAAACCTAGAAAAGTCATAAACCATAACCATCATATACCTCTTACAACTAATACTTCCAATTTTGTTGCACAAATTTGATCCATATGAATTGACTCTATAGGTTTGGAATTAATAATTGGCATGGTCCACAAACTTCGTTGCAAATATGTGAGGAACCAGAATGAATCCTGTAGCAAATATTATAGTTTTTAATCCCTGCACCATACACTTTTCTACCTTATTAACCACTAAACAATTCTTTTCAGTAAAGCGAACTTTTAATTCATAATCACAGATTTGCCTAACACTAAAAAGACTTTCATTAACCACGACGTAGAACTCTGGAATCAATCCACAACCTAGCTCCCATCTCCACTCACATGTCTTAAAACAACCAATTAAAGTATCTTCTCTTCTTTTTTTATTGTGAGATTGAGATATGGTATCGAACTGAACCAATTTGGAAATATCATCATCCGAAGACTGTTGTTTGGGTACTAAACCATTCATCTCATATAGCATGATCATGGGAATTTTTATCAATTCGAAACATCTTATCTATCTCTTTGAAGCTAAAGGTCAGAAAGGATTAGTTTATGTGATTTCAAAGTATTTGAGTTGGATGATTTGTTGAATTGAGTCCAATTAAAAAATTTATATTTTTCTAAAACTGTTAAATTTGTTGATAGTTATGAATTATCAAAACATAACAATGCTTAAATTTTCCATGTTAGAGACACATACTTACAAACCAATACCATAACTGACAAAACAAAACAATACCTAAGCATAAAAACATACTTAATTCATTCATTCTAACCAGTGCATGAAATCTAACCTGCACAATATTGGGATGATAGAGACGAGAAAGAAAGGCAACTTCAGACTTAAATTGCTGTTCAAGCAAAACTCTAGTCTCGTCCTTATGTGTTGGAATCCTCACCATTTTCACTGCAACTGCCCTCTGCTTGTAAATTCCCCGATAAATTCGACTATGCGCTCCCGAAGCAAACTTGTTACCAATAAAGAGCTGAGAAAGATCAGCAGTCCACTCCTCTTGATCCTCTGTTGATGCTTCCCAAGTCTCAACATTTTCAGAATCCAAAATCATTGACCATGACTCCAAACTATCAAATCTCCTCCTTTCCATGTTCTCCATATCAGAATTCAATTGGGTTCTCGAGGAGGAAGGGATTTGTAAAGATTTGTTCTTAGACTTTCGAAGTCGAAATGGATTAAAACATGAGATTGCCATTGGAATTCTAGTGTACTTGATGAACTCTTTTTCTGACGAGTCTATGAAATTGCAAACCAAGAGTGTCAAAACACACAGTCAAAAGGAGCTTTCCTTCTGAATGTGTGAATTGATTTCAGAAAGTGCATGAACTGATTCAGAAACATGGGTTCGAAAGATAAGTACAAAATTGAAATGGGTTTTCATGTATTGATCAAAACGGTGACAGAAACAGACAGAATCCATCAAACCCTAGAGAGAGAAAGTGAATCAATTGACAACTCTCCATTAGAGAAGTTCAGAAAGTGCATGAACTGATTCAGAAACATGGGTTCCAAAGATGAGTACAAAAAAGAAATGGGTTTTCATGTATTGATCAAAAAAATGATAGAAACAGAGAGAATCCATCAAAACCTAGAGAGAGAAAGAGAATCGAGTGACAACCCTCCATTTGAGAGGTTCAGCATTGTCTGTAAAAAGGAACTTATGATGAGTTGAAAAGAGATAAATATTGGTATATTATAGATAAGATAGAAAGGTGGTGAGAAAAATTGGAACCAAATGAAGAATAAATTCATGAAAATGCAGATTTTCCAGAATTATGAGAAGAGAGTTCGTGGGAGTTTCACGGCTTTTTACTAACATCATCAAGAAGAGTAGGTTGTTTGAATTCAAAGCAGAGATTTCAGGGAGGTCCCGTGATTGCTTGGTTCAAAAGTAGAGAGAGAGAGTGTGTTAGAGAGAGAAAGTGCGTGCTTTTTCTACTTGATCCAACTCCTCCTCCTGTGTTGCAATTTGCATCATTGAATGCTAAGTGGTGACAGTGTTAAAAAGTGCAATAGATTAAGGTCTTGAAAACTTTGGATATGCATTAATATATGCCATAACTGTAATATCATTTCATTATTCTTACAATGTAGTCTCGCAAGTGGCATCTGTACACGTGTCAAACTATTACTTCGATGAAAAGGGAATAATTCATTGTGTTTCTATTTAAGTCTATTTTCTCTTTTATTTTACATAAACCTATGCATATTGGTTTTTTTTGATTATTTAATCAAAAGAGAATTTCTGATTATATATATACATATATAGAGTTGTAAATTAGTTGTTCATTAACAACTCCAATTCAGTTCGTCCGGGGTTCAGCTCGGGCTCAGACTTATTATTAAGTAAACGAGCCAAATTCGAATTTTAATTCTAAGCTCATCTAATAAATGAAGTTATAGTAAAAAATATTTGTATTTGGTTTGTATAGGTTTGTGAACAAAAATTCGCTTATGGTCGTATGCGTTCATGAATATAGGCTCATGCAGGACTTGTACCGTTCATCAACATACGATTGCGTAGATTCATATTAGTTCATAAATAAATTAAAAAGATTTTAAACACGAGCTCAAATCAACTCCGAACTTTTCAAAATACTGACGAATCGAGCTTAATTGAGTTCAAATTTTTGGAGTTATACACACACTCTGGGTGTTGATTATGTTGCCAAATATTCTCAATATCCTATATCACTTCTTTAATAAAGGGTCACACTTTAACTCGATTTACTTTGAACATAAACTCAAAACATTTTCATTTAAAAGTATTTTTTTTATATTATTGTTTACAAGAATTGTATGGAGTAAAACATATATGTATGAAAGAAACATATATAAATAAAGCAACATCAATAGAAATATGTATTTGATTAATTGGTTGAGAGACAGAGAAGTTGGATATTCTCGAGGCATTTTATTCTAGGATCAAGTGATGTAGCACAAATTACCACTATTTTTTTTTTTTTTTTTTTCTAGAGAATGCATGTATTATTCTCCATATTTGTTTTAGTGAGGAATCAAATATAAGGTGTGACACAAATGGAATATTTTGCTAAAAGGGTCCACCACCATATGTTTGTCTTGTTATTTGCAAATCCAATAAATGCAGTTCCATTTTAGAAAAATAAAAATAAATAAATAAATGCTGTTGTTCCATCACGCACAAGTTGGGTTGTGTTGTCTTTGTTTTCCATGCTGGACTAGATAGAGTTGAGGAGTCTGAGTACCCAGTTGCTATTTAATGGGTCAAATCAGATGTGTTGGGCTCACTAAGCAAGGCCTATTGGGCTAATTGTTTATCTCCCTGAAAGCCCACCAAATCCTAGCTCTTAAAGTTGTTATAAGAATGTTTTGGAACACAGCCAACAGAAATTTTTGGGCATTGTTCAGTTCAATCTGGGCTGAGTCCAAGGATTTTAAACACTACTAATTTGGGCTTAAAACTGGTAAGGCCTAACTGAACATAACTTGCACCACACTTGAAATGAACATAAATCGAACTAACCAAAGGGCTTTTGGCCCAATGGTATAACCTCCCCATCTTTAAAAAAGAGGGGTGGAGTTTGAGCCCCGGCACGGGCAAAAAAGTGTATGTCCGTGTTTACTTTACCATCCAAAAAAAAAAAAAAAAAAAACATACATCGAACTAAATGTGAATTCCACCAATGGGCCATTTAGTTCAATGATATTACTTCCTTACACTTGTCAAGGGAGGGTTCTGGTATTTGCATGCCAGGCAATGTGTGTGTGAATACTTACATGATAAATTGATAGAGAAATATATATATATATATATATATATATATATATATATATATATATATTTTGCTAAATACTTGTTCAAGCATGATTCATTAAGCCAACTTTATCTCAATTTTACTAGTCAAGTAAAGGTCGAGCTAGGACAACTTCGATCAAGTTGAGTTCGGTGGAGCTCGACACATTTTGAATAATTGACCTATATTGGATCCAATCTAATCTAACAACCCGACAAATTATTTATAAATGAATTCATATTTGATTTGTTATTGATCAAATATCTAATTCATTAAAGGTGTAAATTTTTGTCAAAAATAATTATTGACAAGAGATTCCTAAAAAAAAAGAAAAAAAAAAGGAAAAGAAAAAGGCCAAAGAAGACATAAAAAATTAACAAATAAAAAAGAGGAAAAAACATAGAATAAGAAAGAATAGAGCGAGGTAAAAGAAAAAAAAAAACCAAAGTGATTTTTTTTTTTGATAGTATTTATTATAGAATTAGATAATATATTTATAACATGAAAAATAATTCTTGCACCAAATAGTTACAGTGAATTACTAGACCTATTATTTTAATTATCAATTATATAACAAATAAGGAAGTGGAACCCCCCACTTCGTTGTATTCGGTTAGACAATTCACTACAAGTGTTCAGTGTGGGTGTCACTACTCTTATAACATACTGTATATTATATTATATGAGAATTATTATCAAATTAGCTTAATCATAATTTATAGGGTAAAATGCAAAAAACCCCCCATAAACTTTACTCTCTCTCCTAAGAAACCCCCCTGAATTATTTTTTTAACAGAAAACCCCCTAAACTATCCTCATTTTTGCAAAAGAAACCTAGGTGATACTGTTCCGGTAAATTTTTGGCCGTCCTTATGTGCTGTATATTATAAATGGCAATCCTACCCATATATACAAAATACATATGTTATATTATACAATATATATATATATATATATATATATATATATCTTCTCCGGTGACTAAGTTCAAAACCCAAAACCTCGGTGCTGATTTGGGACCTGATTTGGCAAATCAAACCAAATTAATCACAAAATCAACCTTAATTAAATCATTGACGGATTAAATCTCTGGATTTTGCTTTTGTCGTTAATGTTTTTCCTCTCCCGGCAGCCATGGCTACGGGAATCCTACGCCTCTTTGAGTTGTGCACAATTAGTGGGTTTGAATATGTGGGCAAAAAAGTTTTGTTTGGATAATTGAAGGTGATGATGGGTTGGTGTGGGCTGGGAAAAAGCAACAAAGCAGCTTTGGTTTTCAATTAGAGGTGATGATGTTGATTTGGAAAAAAAAACTTGTTTTTTCAATTATTCGTTTGCTTTTGGTACCCTAGAATTGTTAGTTTTTTTTTCTCCAACAATTAATGATAGGCCATCCTCATCTTCTAATAAGCAAACATTGACTTCCAGCAAAATGGTTTATATTGCCCATATAATACGTACGCACGCACGCACCCACGCACACACACACACACAAACTGTCAGAGAATCATTTTGGCATATAATTGAGACTTTGACAACATAGCTTCATCTCACCTACAAAATGAAAGTTAGGAGTTTGAGGTTGGGCTCTCACCGGCAAACCTCACACTCTATGATCGTTGGCGAGAAACTCTAAGCATTAACAAGCAGTGAAAGCCAACCTCAAAATCCATGACCGCCAGCGAGAATCTCAAAGCATCAACAACACAATCGCAGACACAATCACAGCGATCAAACCAGTGAGTCTTATTTCGGTGAACCACAAACAGATAGGCGACAAAGCTTGAGCATCATACAAACATGGCTGACTAATTCGTGAGCATCTTTGGATACCCAACCCGAGAATTTCATTGAATACCCATTTGGTCGACGGAAGTTGGCTGCAGGAGGTTGCGATTGGTTGGTGTCAGCTGTGGGAGAAGGAGAGCGTAGAGAGAGAGAGAACCGTATGGGTAAGGTCGTGTTTGGCAGTAGTTGAGATTGTTTTTGAAACGTCAGCAATAGCAGGTACTAAAACATTAAAACGACAGCATCTCACTAAGGGTATCTTTGTAATCTAACATTTCTGGTGACAGTAGTTTTTTAATTTGTCCTTAACTGCAATTTTTTGATAGTTCAGGGGGGTAATTTTTAATTTAGGGGGGTTTTGTGCAATTGACTGATAGATCAGGGATTTTTTTTGCACTTTACCCTAATTTATATTGGGTTTGTTTAATTAGCTAATTGTTAGATACGGATTAATTGAGTTATTAGATCGGATACAAGCCAGATCCGAATCAAATTTCCATTTACTCTGGCTGAACTCAACCCCCAACCTCCATCTGAAGCAAAAATTATGATGTGGATATATATATTTATATATCATGTAGGATACTCCATATCATTTCGTGTGTCACTCTGTGATAGGCAGAGAGACAATCGAATAATTCCATAAATAGCTACAGTACTTCATATCAAAGGACCCGACCACCGTATTCGAGAATAAATGCAAGACAATGAAAGGCATCCAAACAATCCTTGCATTTAAAAAAAGTTGTATCAAAGGACCAAACCAACACACAAATTTTTGCTAAAATTTATCGTTGGCTTTCAGAATTTAAGATGATAAACTGAAAATATTATTACTAATATACTACAAAAAATATATTTATGTTCATAGATCCTCAAGGGCTAAACACGTGAAAATATAACTTTTGATGCAGGCTCTATGATATATGAGAAAAATGTGAGGCGTCTATATAATTCCTAATAATTGTATAGAGGTTTTATTGAGTTAAACAAGTAATTTTTTTATGGATAAAGTGCAAAAAAATTCTTTGAACTATTGCCTTTTTACAAATAATTATTCTGAACTAAAAACCGCCTTATTATTAATTTGTTGCAATTAAAGACAAACTTATTGCAAAAAACTCTCATTAAATTTGTCATTTCTTATTAAATTTTTTTTATTATCTTTTCTCTTATTTAAATATTAATTATAATATTTTTCTTAATTTTTTTTTATTATTATCAATTTATCAAAAAAAAAAAAAAAGATTTGTAATTACCATTTTCTGAAATGATTAATTTATTATTAAAATTTTATTATTTATAATAAAAAATTTTATACCCAGTTTAAACTTTTTCACAATAGAAAAATACCCTTTTTTTTCATACAATATATTGATGAAAATTTAATTTTATTATTTTAAAATTTTTTACTTAAATTTTTTATTTAAACGATTAATATTAAAAATTAAAGA